CAATAACATTTAATACAAATTTTTTTAAAATGTTCGTATTATTAATTAGAACAGGTTTCGCTTTAGTTTTTATATTTTACTCTGATATTTATTACTTTAAATCTTCCCTAGTGCTATAACGGAAAATGTGACCTTCTTTTGACCTCTGGGGTCACAAAGAATAAAGGTGAATTTAACAAGTTTACATTTTTATTGAAAGTGTGATTACTTTCGATCATTTTCAGTCTATTTTCATGATACAAGAATGACCGCGCATTCACTTTCAGTGCAAATGAATCCATTTGACCATTGACCCCGAATATCTCGAAAACGCCCCAACGGCGGACTGATTACCACTCGGCATCGTATTCTACGCAAAATTTTACTCTAGAAAAGTTGGGTCTGGTTTTGTGCCCATTTGATGACCCCCCCCCCCCCGAGCTGAGCCTCCAGACTAACAGGTTTGTCCGTGCATAATGGCCAAAAGATTTGATCTCGTCGTGTGAATAGAATTTGGATCATCAACATCTCACTTGGCATTCCAATGACATTTAGATTCCGTGCTTTAAGACGAAAATATGTGCTTTTGATATGAGAAGGGTATTATCGTTAATATCGGAAGGCGCTAATGGCCAATTTGTCATTCAATATGACAGATTAAAGTGGTGAGTTGTAATCACAATCATGGGCGTTAATTATCAAAATTACAGACAATAATAAAACAAACAAAAAAATCAATTGAATTCAAGTCTAGAGTGTGTGTGTCTTTTTATCCGGCGACGAATGTGGGGATGCTTATCAAAGTTACAGACAGAAAAAAATCAATTCAGTTCACAGTCTAAAGTTGGTCTTTCTTTTTATCCCGCGCCGAAGTATGTTTTTGTTACAATCTGATTATAATACTGGGGCCTGTTTCACGAAATTTTAACTAAGATAAAATCCAAATTTTAGTAATTTGATTGGATAATATTAGATTGATTATAGTGCTTCGCCAATCAAAATTGAAGTATCTACTAAAATTGTTTTTTATCTTTAGTTAAAATTTCGAGAAACAGGCCCCAGGTCCCGTGTTTACAAAGCATTCTCAGATTTAAAATTTACTCAACTTTCAATCACTGTTTATGAGAAATATCTTTGATCTAGAAACACAAAATTTTGCACATAGTTTCTTATTGATGTATCTGATACATTCAAACAACAAAATTATTATAAAGGTCTATATTTTAGTTCATATAAAGTGAACAAGTTTGAGTAAATTCTCAACTTAAGTCTGAGAATGCTTTGTGAACTTGGGGCCTAATCTATATTTCGTTTCGTGTTTTAGGCGGCCTACTCTACTATTCGCTTTTGACCCTATGATGTGAGACATCGATTAATCAATCAGCGTTGACGTTTCTAGTGGTTTACCCACAGTTCCGTGCATCGCACGCCAAGAACTCACCGTAACAGACCGTTTCATTGGCTAATCCCTCAATTCAACCAGAACGCCGGTAATATAACAACTCTTCCAGATCATAGGGTAGTAAAGACAAGTAAAACGTTATTTTGAACTAGAAAAAAACGAAACGAAATAGGATCTGTGTTTTAATCAGATTGGTCATTGTTAAAGGGGCTAAATCGCTCATATTTGGAACCTAGAAATTGACACAAATGGGTTGCAACGCTTATAATAATGTAATATGAATGTATATAAACTGATTTACATTCAATCTTTTCTGTTTTCACTGTAATTTCTAATCATTTATGTTCGGCGAATACGCCAGAAGTCTCAATTGAATGGCAATCTCTAGTGCCTGGTTATTCCAGTCTACACCGATAGTATTTATCGCACATGCTCTCCAGATAAGAATATGGCGTCACCGTTTGACTTGACATGTGGAATATGCCTAGTCTCGTTTTTCAAATCCCTCATTACAAATGACGCTGAAACGCATTATGGTACACGATTCGTGTACCAATGGTAAAATGTTTATTTTGTCTTAAATATTAGATATTAGAAGCCCATCTCTTCCCGGTAAGATCACAACATCAACGTTGATTTAAATTGATAAATAATTTGTGTTTTCAATGTCGAAGATCTTGGATGACAGTGAGTTAGAGACTTAACTACTTTAAGGAGGGATATTGGAATAAGTTTTACCCGTCCGTCTCAAAGGCCAGATTAAGGTTTTGTGGGGCCCTAGGCCAAAATATTTCATGGGGCCTATGACACATGCGATACAAAAACAAGGGCATAAAGAAATAACAAGCACTACAATGGCTTCACAATAGAGCCCAAATATATAAGCATAACAGCAATCTGTTTGTGGTCAAGACTTGGCTCTTGCATTGCCGCGGGACGCTTTTATATTTGCCCCTTGTCAGTGATGCAACATGAAATGACGTTTAACATCCTACTGCTCTGCTCCTAACCTGGGCTAATGAAGACGGGCGTACGCCATACAGTGTGCTATGGAAATTTTGCCCAGACAGCGGCGCCACGGTCTACTCTTATATCGAATTCCAACTGTCAAGGGATCTTTTACGTGCACGCCAATGTGTACACGGGACCTCGTTTTTCCGTACCATCCGAACGACAAGACAGCTGTCCTTGTCAGAAACCCCGCCCTGCATTACTGACAAGGGGAACCACGCCGGAAAGTCAGTGATGAAGGGCCTAGTCTAGTCTTTCGGATGGGATAAAAAGACTGATGTCCCGTGCACATAAAAGAACCCTTAATAGTTGGAATTCAATTGCCGCCCGGGCAACATTTCTCTTAGGTAATATCATATGAAGCAAATGGCGGACCGTTTTCTCGCTCAAAATCGTCGCTAGTTGACTCGTTCTTACGTTTTCCACCGATGGTGATAATATAATTTGAATTAATAATATCCGACTAGACATGCTTATATATTCCACATGCCGTATGAAGCCACGGTTTAACTATCAAAATATTTATTCTCTACGAAAAGAATTGACGTCCAGTTTGAACATTCCAAATTATTATTTTTTTTTAGACGAAACGAAACATTATATAATCACCGTACCGTGCGTGTGTTAGTTGTATTTTATGTCCGCTTCCACCGAGGTGATATCGCAGGTGATATCGTAGTAAATAATGACGTGAGATCGGCTTTATGGCATGTACCAATCAACTAATCATTAATCCGAGACAATTGGTTGGCACCGTAATCCTTACTGACACGATCCGGTTAATTATCGAGTTGATTAATTTATTGTATGCCGTCATGTGATTGTTATTCACACTCGATGTAACAGTTAATCCAGGATATAACAAAAAGAAACACGAACACAACTTTATGGATAACAATCACTAGCAATTTTAATAGTGCAACGTTTCAACAAGTATCCTCGTGTCGTTATCAAGCACGGGGTAATATCATATTATCGTTCACCCTGTGCTTGATAACGACAAGAGAGAGAGAGAGAGAGAGAGAAATGGGGTTTAACGTCCACTCGAAACAAACTAAGTGATTTCTGGACTAACACATGGTTCAATTTTATTTCAATAATTTGCTTGCGCGTAGGGGTCTTTAGCAGTGGGAGGAAACCGGAGGACCAGGAGAAAACCCACGAGGTTGGACAGGCGACCCTACTCCTTGTCACGTACAACCGGGGAATCGAAACCCCGCCAGTTGACTCAATGACAGACCCTATGATACAGCGCGCGCGTGCTAACCATTCGGCCATCCAACCCCCCACGACAAGAGGACACTTGTTGAAACGTTGCACTATTAAAGTTGCTAGTGATTTTTATCCATAAAGTTGTGTTGTGTTTTTTCAATGTTAGTCCTATCACTAAATGCCTTATAAACAAGAAATCGCCAATAGGTTATCGCCAAAATCAAATTTTAATCACCACTTTCATATTTTTATCGCAAATTGCGAGTTTGGCCACCGACAGCGTGTGTCCTGCCTTATAGTACCCTGCATGGAGTACGCCGGACGTTATTTAGGCCTAGCTCAGTTGGGGCAGAAAAGTAGGACGTTTATTTTATTACACGCCTTTACGATACAATGGACAAGATATTTGTTATTTTAAAAAAAAGGAATTATAAAGCATAGATAACCAATGGATACGGGATTATGTTCTAGATACGGGAGTGCGTTCTGAAACGGGAGTAGGTTCTGGACATGGGGGTAGGTTCTGGACATGGGGGTACTTTCTGGGAAGAATTTTAGTTTAACTGTAATTCTCCAGTGTTGGTGTGATTCATATCATGGAACCAGAAATATGAATGAGAAAATGGAAAGGGTCCTCCCCATCAGACAGCTGAATAATAGACCCCTAAGTCCTTTATTTCGGTTATCCAAATCGAAACAAATCGCACCCTCCACCCTCAAATAACCAATTTGCCTGGGTTTTCTTTAGAGACCAATGTGGTCAAGCAAATTATTGAAATATACTCCATAAAGGTATGTTAGTCCGTTGGCCGAGAAAGTTCATCAGAATTTTCGGGAGTGGTTCCCCTTGTCAGTGTTGAAAGATGGAGTTTCTGGCAAGAACAGCTGTCTAGTCGTTCCGATGGGACGAAAAAACGAGGTCCCATGTACACATTGCCATGAACGTTAAAGATCCCTTGGCAGTTGGAATTCAATATAAGCGTAGGCGGTAATGCCGCTGTCCAGTCTAGATTTCCCTAGTACCACACTGTATGGCGTATGCCCATCTTCATTAACCCAGTCGAAGCAGAACGGTAGGACGTTAAACTCCATTTTATTTCATTTTGTATGTTAGTTTGGTAATGATATGTTTATGTTGTGGTAATGTTGTGGTAATGATTTGGTAATGATTTGGTAATGTTGTGGTAATGTGGTTTGCATTAGGTGAACATTTAGAATCTCCAGAAATAATGAAATGAAATGGGGTTTAACGTCCTACTGTTCTGTCCCGACTGGGCAAATGAAGATGTGCATACACAATACAGTGTGCTATGAGAGAAATTTTGCTCGCTCCAGGCCTGGTCTTCAAAATTAGATAAGAAATTTATTTAAAGACTATGAGAAGAAAAAGACTATATAATATGAAATATTTTCTTTGACGTCAAAATTTCTCATTAACTAATAAACTAAAACAAATATATCGCAACAACACAACATACATTCACTCATAGCTTCATGCCACAATTTCACCATTGCATTATGTAAGATTTAGAAAAAGAGCTGACAGTTCTTGTTAATGCTAGGTTACCACTATCATCATTTGTTCTGTGATCGTGGACAAATTGAGGTGATTCTATCAGGTCAACTCAAAACAATATGGTGTTTAGGGTGAGAAAATGTTTGGTTGATATAAATATAGAACTTCCACTGCAAGTTGATTAGATTATACCCTTACCCAATCTATAGTTCCCTGGTTTTGTCTGACTAACCCAGCTTACAGTTCCCCTGGAAATGAGAAATTAACCCAGCCTATAGGTTCGCTGGATTTGAGCAACAAACCCGCCTCACATATGCGTTGAAGTTCCGATAGGGTTAAAAAAAGTTCCCCACTCGATTTCTTTTTTATCGGAGACTTGGCAATTTATCTAATACCAAAATAGAAAAAATAAAATTTTTCATCGAGCCCTTTCTATAAAAACAGTAAATATTCATTTTTTCAATGTGACTTATCGAATCAATCCAGTATTTCAGATATAACAATCCGTAGAGCAAGTCCTGTCAGTTCGCAGTTTATGTATGCCTTGAACAATATGTTACAACACATTTTAACAGTTTTTTTTAGCGTATTCCGGATGTCTCATGTCGCGCTTATACCCCCCACTTTCCCACGATTTGCTGAAATGCTTCGGAAAAGTACTGCATGTTGACTATAAGGAATCGATTTTAGCATTCGAACAGTCGTACAAAAATATCGGAATTCCGATAAGGTCGAAATGCCATGCGGTTTTCGATCATGTCGAACAGTTTCTGGAAACACAGAAGGAGTTGTATGATCAGAACCAGAGTTGATTACCAGCTACGGAGAGGCAATCCTTCAATCGTGGGCTCGGATTTTCGAGTGAGCAGGCATCGGAGTCTGTTCACTCTGATTTCAGCAAATCGGAACTTCAACGCATATGTGGCCTGCTGTTACACCAATGCATGTTTAGTTCAGAATATAAAAAGTTTATAATAAGTCCAAGTCCATTTACTACACATTCACTTTAAAGGTAAATTTCTCTTTGATAGTTCCTTCGCTGATGGCTCTATACCAAGAACACATCGTTCCCGTCTTGCGTCTGCTTGATTTCGACTTTTATATAACTGAAACCATTTCTTCTTGTAGGGTTTTTGTTTTTGGAAAAAAGGTATTTTCTTGGGTTTCTTGTAAGGTACACGTCCATTGTAATATAAATTATCAAAATCTAGATTTTCGTCCTGTGGTTTTTGATCTTTGGTTACTGTTCCTGTCGTGGGTCTGGCAACAACGATCGGAACATTCTCCATATTGTTTTGATACTCGACCACATTCAGTTTTAATCGATCCGCCAAATCCTGGTGAGTTTCCTGAAACAAAAAACAGATAATTTACATGAAATGGGGTTTAAACTTCCTACTTTTCTGCACCGACTGGGCTAATGAATTGTGCTATGTGGGAAATTTTGCCCTGACAGCCTACTCATTTTTCGAATTCCAACTGTCAAGCGTTTTTCTACATGCACGCCATGTCCCATCCGAACGACTATACGTTGTCCCTTAACAAGCCCTCCATCCTACACCACTAACAAGGGCATATGCCATGCTGTGCGCTTGCTACCTTGGTTTTTCGTACCATCAGAATGACCGGATGCGATTCGTTGCTAGGTCCTGTCTAACTGACCAAAGAAAACACATAAAATCCTGAAGAACTTTCATTGTCACCAACAGGACTGAACCACGTTAGTGATCATTCTGGCTACCTTGATTTCGATATAAATGACCTTTACCTGATTTCTGAGGGCATCAAACAAGGCTTTAGTTATATTTTGATAATTCCGTGCCGACCCTTCAACTTTGACCTTTAAATCTTTAATACCAATAACCTCACAGATAGTTTTTATAACACGATGACAGCGTAAACCAGCTCCTGTAATAAATAGAGTAAATAGTACTACTCAGTAGAAGTAGTAGAATTGTAATTCTCCAATCTCCACATCGTCAAAGTTCAAAGAGAGTTAAATCCCTCCCCCGCTAGAGGCGCTAGGTGGTGTTGGGAGGGGGAGGGGGGTGTTTTTATAAAATCTAGTATTATAATCCTACAATGGCTCCCAAGTTCAAGTTACTCCTCTTTGTCTAAAGGAGTGTTAAACAGTCAGGCTCCATCTTTTTCTAAAATCTCCAACTATTAAAGCGGCATTAGGTAAAATTAGATACAGAGCTGACATTTCTCTCGTTATAATGGTTAAAAAATAGATAATGTAAAAAGAATATGCTGAAAATTTCAATCAAATTGCTCCACTCTGAACCGAGATATTAGCTTTTGAAATTTAGGCTAGTCTTGATCACTATTACTAAAGTCGGTACGATAAACAAAGTCTTGTTTATCCATTTTTACAATAAATCATCCATCAAAAACGTATTCAAATCCACTAAATATTGCAGGCCAGCGATGACATTGAGAGCTGATTATGGTCTGGATAGGTTAATTAATGTCTAATTAATAACCTAAATAACATTTAAGGCCAAAAGAAAGACCTGCAATAGGCAGATTTAGCTCTTGCACAGTGCATGTTTATCTTACAAATTGTTGAAAATGTGACAGATTATAAGAGGGGTATTATATGAAATTTAGAGTGGCATTAAGTCTATGCATGCCAGTCTTTACTAATTGGTGAATATGAAAATATTCATTTATTTCTTTTTCTGAGAAATGAAATGGAGTTTAACGTTTTACTGTTCTGCTCCGACAGGGATAAGACAAGCATATGTCATACAGTGTGCCATGAGGAAAACTTTTCCCCGGACAGCGGCACTATCACCTACTCTTATATCGAATTCCAACTGCCAAGTGATCTTTTAAGTCCACGCCAATGTGTACACAGGACCTCAGTTTTCCATCTCATCCGAATGACTAGACAGTTGCCCATGTCAGGCCCTCCATCGTGCACAACTGCCAGCTAACTAATTCAAGAATTAGAGTTTTTACACGCTTGTAATTGTGAAATGTGGCGATTAGTGCGATTACATACGAGAGATAAACAGGGTTTAACATCCACTTGACAAAAACTAGGTCATTTTGGCACTAACATATGGTTCAATTTTATTTCAATAATTTGCTTGCATGTAGTAGTCTTTAGCAGTGGGAGGACCCGGAGAAAACCCACGAGGCTGACAGGCAACCCTACTCTTTTTCATGTACAACTAGGAAAACGAAACCACGCCACTTGACTCAATCACAGACGTTATGATCTAACGTAAACCCTACTCCTGGGACAGGAGAGATGTATGTATGTATGTTGCTACTTACCAGCTGCAGCCTTTTCTATATAAAGAGCTGTTTGTTGTTCCTTGTTGTACATATTATGGTAGACCGTATGATTATTATAACGTTCTACATACAGCAATCGTTGAGCTGCCTTATTCTTAGCCTGAAACAAATACAGACAAAATGAAATGAAGGGGTTTAACGTCCACTCGACACAAACTAGGTCATTTCGGGACTAACACATGGTTCAATTTTATTTCAATAATTCGCTTGCGCGTAGGGGTCTTAAGCAGTAGAAGGAAACCGGAGGACCCAGAGAAAACCCATGAGGTTGGACAGGCTACCCTACTTCTTGTCACGTACAACCAGGAAATCGAAACCACGCCAGTTGACTCAATAACAGACCTTATGATACAGCGTGCACATGCTGACCATTCGGCCATCCAACTCCCTCAAAATATTGAAGTGGAAAAGCTGGTTAGTAGTGTTGCACGACACAGACATGCTCCAACCAGTAAAATCTGTGCACTAATAAAAACAACTTACTTTTCTAATTGCAGTTCTTCCCAGTGGGGCCTTGGCAACAGCAAAACCTGAAACATTGAATAAGTTCAAAGAAATATAAAGCCTTATAAAATCTGTATATCTATTAATTAACAGACAGCATTATAGAATTTGTTAATGTACAGCAGTATAGAATTTGTTACTGTACATGAAAAGAAATGGGGTTTAACGTCCTACTATTCAAATTTCCCACGACTTAATCCACGCTAATACATGTATGTACAGAAATTGATTATTTAAATTGACCAATAAGTCGTGTTCAAATGTTGAAGACTTTGGATGACACTGAGTTAGAGACTTGGCTACTTTGGCTATTGAATCAATAGAGAACAATACATAGTAAGTCAGTGAATCAAATGGGGTTTAACATCCATAGACATACAGTGTGCTATGAGGGTAATTTTGCCCAGACAGTGGCATTATGACCTACTCTTTATTTGGAAATCTAATTGTCATGGATTCTTTTACATGCACACACTGTAACCCAGGTATCATTTAATCTTGTGTATCTAGCAATAATTTCTTTTACATTCGTTTTAATATCAAATCATGTTTAAAAATGTAAAAAACGTTTAATATCACTATAAATCATCTAATTTGTACTTTTGATAATTTTGATAATGAGTGTCCAATTTACAAATGTTTAATTTCTCAATCACTGTTGAAAAATAAACAACCCAATTGATTAATGATGTATAATGATTAATGTTTGGACAGTGGTCAGGAAATTAAATACTTGTAAACTGGACACTCATTATCAAAATTAATCAATCAGCTTTAAACTGGACACAAGTACAAATTAGATGATTTTTGGTGATTTTAAATGATTTTTACGAATTTTTAAACAAAGATCTGATATTAAACGAGTGTGAAAGAAATTAGTGCTAAATACACAAGATTAAATGATACCTGGGTTACAGTAACACATGACCTTGTATTTTTTTTTTTTTTTTTTTACATCTGAACGACTAAACTCTGTCTTTTTCAGGCCCGACAACCTGCACCACCATGTTGCGATCGAACCCAGAGCTCCTGCTTATTGAGTCATATCAGGCACCGTGACTTTTAATAAAGCATGAAAATTGAATAATTTATGCGTACCTGCCAGACCATTACCGTTACCAGTGACAACCATTACACTGGCTCTCATCCTTTTACCCATATTACCTGTTACATTAGCAACCATTTTATACTAGAAATATAATATAACATTACATAACAACTGTTACGTTAGCAACCATTTTATACTAGAAATATAATAAAACAACTGTTACATTAGCAACCATTTTATACTAGAAATATAATAAAACAACTGTTACATTAGCAACCATTTTATACTAGAAATATAATAAAACAACTGTTACATTAGCAACCATTTTATACTAGAAATATAATAAAACAACTGTTACATTAGCAACCATTTTATACTAGAAATATAATAAAACAACTGTTACATTAACAACCATTTTATACTAGAAATATAATAAAACAACTGTTACATTAGCAACCATTTTATACTAGAAATATAATAAAACAACTGTTACATTAGCAACCATTTTATACGAGAAATATAATAAAATAACTGTTACATTAGCAACCATTTTATACTAGAAATATAATATTAAGTAACAACTGTTCAACACTGGTCACAAACATGATTTGTGATATATTCCCTTTTAGAAAGTTCATTACTATGAATCAATCAAATATCTCCAAGTTTAATCTACACACGAAAACACTTAAACAGAGAAATGGGGTTTAATGTCTGCCCAACACAAAATAGGTCATTTCGGGACTAACATATGGTACAGTTTTTATTCAACACATCACTTGCGCATAGGTGTCTATAGCAGTGGGAGGAAACCAGGGAACACAGAGAAAACACATGAGGTTAGTCAGGCGATCTTACTCCTTGTCATGTACAAGTGTGGAATTAAAACCACACCACTTGACTCAATGACAGACCTTGTATAGCACACAAACTATACCACCTTAACTTGTTTTGCAGCCCTGTAATAAATTTCTATCAAACACCCCAAAAGTTTAAATGACAAAAGACAATTAGGAAAAGAACCAGAGAGAGAGAGAGAGAGAGAGAGAGAGTGTAAGGTCAGTCCACTGACACAAACTAGGTCATTTCGTGACTAAAATATGATTTAAATTTATTTCAATAATCATACTGGCTCGAAAAGGTTATAATGAAAATTTTGAGAGAGAGAGAGAGAGAGAGAAATGGGGTTAAACATCCACACAAACTAGGTCATTTTGGGACTAACACATGGTCCAATTTCATTTCATATGATATTATCTCATATGATACTTATAATTAACATACCTCTAAAACCCTTGAATCAAATCCCTCAAATGTATCTAAAAACAAAACAACAGTTATCATGTAAATTATTTACCCAAGATTTCCTGCGTCCGAAGGTTAAGGGATAGACAATCTCTGTGTTATTGGTAATCAACATTCAAATTCTTGTAGTTCATTTTCTTAGATAATTCTTGTAGTTCATATGTTCTTAGATAATTCTTGTAGTTCATATGTTTTTAGATAATTCTTGTAGTTCATATGTTTTTAGATAATTCTTATAGTTCAAATGTTTTTAGATAATAGTAGCATGTGCAGAAGGATTGCAATGCACTCAAACAAAATTGATACAGAGAGAGAGAGAAATGGGGTTTAAAGTCCACTCGACACAAACTATGTCATTTCGGGACTAACATATGGTTTATTTTATTTCAATAATTCGCTTGCACGAAGGGGTCTTTAGCAGTGGGAGGAAACCGGAGGACCCGGAGAAAACCCACGAGGTTGGACAGGCGACCCTACTCCTTGTCACGTACAACCGAGGATTCGAAACCATGTCAGTTGACTCAATGACAGACTTTATGATACAGCGCGCACACGCTAACCATTCAGCCATCCAACCCCCCAAACCGATACAACAACATAAACAACAAATATCAAATCAAGTAAATAGATTTTGAGGGCTAGCGGTAAGCGTCTACTGCGCTGTAATGTCCGGGGCCTGCAATGATACAGACTTCATTCTAAATGGAGACAAAACAATGATTGATTTACAAGAAAGACGAACTACAAATAATATGTCTCTTGAATGGAGATAGTCTGTCAGTTGACATTATGAGTTAGAACGTCAAAACTTTTAACAATAATAGCGGCGATATTCCAGATAGAATGTCGGAAAATGGTAAAAATTAATAAATTAACAGTATCAGGCATCTCATAAATTGAGTTCAATTACAAACTACCATCACCATTTTATTTAGAATTACAATTTAAAAAACTTACAGTCATTTATTGGATCTGGAGGACCAATACTCATGCCTGGAAATCGAGCGCCAGACCAACCCCGTTCTAGCGATGATATTTTAAATCTTCCTTTATTCGTTTTGACCCTGGCTGCTAACAATTTTTCTTCTCTGTTAGGATTTGGTTCCAACTCTCGTAATTTCTGATATTCACTACCTTTTGTTGGTGAAACAGTCAACCCCGGCCATACCATCGGTACTCGGCCTAAAAAACAAACAATAAAACAAATTCTTTAACTAATTTTGTGGTGGCTCAGGAAGTACGACGTTGGCTCGCTAACCTGGAGGTCCTGTCATCGATCTCCGTGTTGGCCGAGAAAGTTCTTCAGGAATTTCCAGCGTGATTCCCCTTGGTCAGAGGTGTAGGACTACTTAGTCTCTATCATCCAGAAAAATATTTGACGAATATTAGGCTGGATGCGTTGTCAACATTTGAGAATAATAGGTCATCGGCTTGATTATCCTGTCTTTTACATTATCATAGACAAAGTCTAAGGGAGGTAACTAGTTATAAAACAAAATGGTGACGCCCGTGTAATTAATTTAAGAATGCCATCTCAAAAAATCCATTTGATTGCATTGCCAGTTTAATCTCCAACACTCTTATTTTGTTATTGTAAAATTTCTCTCTTAATGGGCCATATAAATGTTTTTTAAATTAATCCTAATTCGTCGTCACGATTCATGTTTGTTTATATTAATACAAGAATTGTGGGATTTATTGCAGGAAAGGGGAACAACTCTTCCTTGGCTTGGCCAGAAGATACTGGATGATCAACCACATTAAAAACCAAACTCACGGTTACGCATGGGCAATGGACTTTTCGTCAAATATTGACAACAGTCCTAGACTAGGATGTTTTGGGAGACTGAGACTAAGGACTACTAGGACTGAAGGCCTGGCAAGTGATGTCTAGTCCTTTGGATGGGATCAAAAACCGAGGTCCCATGTAGACACTAATGTGCAACGTATAAGAACCCTTGACAGTTGGAATTCGAAATAAAAGTAGGCTGTAGCACCACTGTCCAGGCACAATTTCCCCCATCGCACACGGCATGTTGTTTATGCTTGTCTTCAACTTTTACCGATAGCCACGCTAAACGTGGAAATAGGCCCAAACAGCAGCAACATGTACATGTCTAATCTGCAGCTTATACGAAAGGATATTCTCTATCGCATTCACAAGCTTTTTGGCAAACAAATATTTCTAGAACAGAAAGATCTGAATTGCCGAGACTAAATTTGAAAAGCAATAGAAAGAATCTTCTCACAGTCAAGGTTTGCAATCATCGCACAAAATTTTTTAAAAATCTGTCAAAAAGTCTAGCCTCTATTGTTGACTGAAGGACAGGGGTGACGTCTACACATACCAACACAGAGTATAAAAAAAGACATGAAAGTTAAGTCACACTTAATCAAAAGGACCGAAAAAATCATTAAACAAGTTTAATCGTCCTATGTACCAGGAACTGACCATATTGTTGGATGAAATTCAAAAATATAATAATTTATCAAATCGATGCAGAATTGTTCCAAGAAGAAGCATGACAATTTTCAATCCCTGTTGATCGGACTTGAACTGACGGAACCTTAGGCTTTTTCGAGAGAGAGAAAGAAATGGGGTTTAACGTCCACTCGACACAAACTAGGTCATTTCGGGACTAACATATGGTTTAATTTTATTTCAATAATTCGCTTGCGCGTAGGGGTCTTTAGCAGTGGGAGGAAACCGGAGGACCCGGAGAAAACCCACGAGGTTGGACAGGCGACCCTACTCCTTGTCACGTACAACCGGGGATTCGAAACCACGCCAGTCGACTCATTGACAGACTTTATGATACAGCGCGCGCACGCTAACCATTTAGCCATCCACCCCCCCAGGCTTTTTCGAAGAGCGTCACCCAATAAAAAAAGTCATCAGATGGCATCTTACGATCAAACGTGCACACGTTAACCATTCGACCACCCAACCCCTCAAATTAAATATATATGGGTGTGGCGTTTTCATTGGTTGAGGTTTAAAAATCTACTACAAATTTTGGCTTATATTTTAGTTGAAGCTATCATGAATTAGGCCCCTGATCTGTAAATATTGTTTTACTCACCTTCTCCAAGTCTTTGTCCTCTGTTCAAATCAACAATTCTCCCCCTTATATTCCTACCTCGACCTCTTTTTTTACCTTGGTTACTGACACCCGTCACACCACTCCATAATTCTTCCGCCGTTACTATAATTAGAAAAAACTTGTCATTATAGATTAGTCTACAGAGTGAGCATTTTGAGAAGGATTGCATTTCATATCTTTTCAAATACACAAAGAATATGAGCAAAACAAAACTGTTTTGTATTTTACGATAATTGATTCACCTGTCATTCCATGTGGCTCACTCAATCTTTCCGAGTGGCACACTGAATTGTTCAAAGTAGCTCATTGAATCGTTCCAAGTGGCTCATTGGAATGATACCATTGAATCATTCCGAGTGGCACATTGAATCATTTCGAGTGGCACATTGAATCATTCCATGTGGCTCATTGAATCATTCCAAGTGGCTCACTGGATCATTTCGAGTGGCTCATTGAATCATTCCAATTGGCTCATTGAATTGTTCCAAGCAGCTTATTGAATCATTCCAAGCGGCTCATTGAATCATTCCAAAATACATATTGGATCATTGTTTCTGATTCTCTTAAATATGAAATCTGTTGGATAAAAATTAAAATATGTAGAGTAGTCTACTTACATCTAGTAAAGAATCCAGCATTTCTTGAGGATATTATTTGACTAGTTGATCCTGTCTGTAGTAAGTCTCCATTATGCCAGACACAATATTCTACTTTAGTCTGGTGTAAAGGAAGACATGCTGCTCTTAAGCTTCCTGTTATGATAAATAAAATATTTATTATTAATCAAAACTGCTGCTCATCATTTGAGTGATTTTTAATCCATTACAAGCTATAATATTGAGAGAGAGAGAAAGAGAGAGAGAGAGAGAAATGGGGTTTAACGTCCACTCACTCGACATAAACTAGGTCTTTTCGGGACTAACATACATGTATGGTTTAATTTTATTTCAATAATTCGCTTACGCGTAGGGGTCTTAGCAGTGGGAGGAAACCGGAGGACCCGGAGAAAACCCACGAGGTTGGACAGGTGACCCTACTCCTTGTCACGTACAACCAGGGATATGAAACCACGCCAGTTGACTCAATGACAGGTCTTATGATACAGCGCGCATGTGCTAACCATTCGGCCATCCAACCCCCCTGTATGTCTAAAAAGAATTGCTCCGGTCTACTGAGATTTTAACTGTGCTATAGTCCCCAATGACTATAAAAAGGGAAGACCCACACAATCTCACTTAAAGTAGCTACACGCAAGTCTCTAACTCAAAATCATCAAAAGTCTTTGAAGTTGAAAACATCAACTATTTGTCAATTTAAATCGACATTGATGGTGTGATCTTACCAGGAAAAAATGTGCTTCTGATATCCAATAAACATTTTTTTCATTGGTACACGAATCATGCACCAGAATGGGTTTCAGCACCATTTGTAACAAGGGACTAAAAGAACAAGGCTAGAAATATTCCAGATAAGAATATGTGTGGTCACTGTTTGACAGAACTTGTGGATTATGGCTAGCAGCGTTCTTCAAGCCCCTTGTTACAAATTACATGTATGGGTACACGGTTCGTGTACCGATGGTAGGAAAATGTTTATTTTGTCTTAATTATTGGATATCAGAAGCCCATCTTTTCCCTGTAAGATCACATTAATGATGATTTAAATTGACAAATAATTTGTGTTTTGTGTCGAAGACTTTGGATGATATTGATGTAAAGAATTAGTTACTTTAAGGCCACAGGAATGTTCAATAAATGTCAGGTCAAGTAATGTCATGGATTTAACATTAAAGACAATGCCATGGAAATAGCTTTACTAGTCTGACTCCATGACCATGTATTGTCCATATAATTATTGTAATACAAGAAGTTTCATAAGTGACTCCTTAATTGTCAGTGGATGTGGTGCAGGATCACCTCAGGATGGGAAGAAAAACGGAGGAACTGTGTATACATTGGCGTGCACGTAAAAGAACCTTGGCAGTTGGAATTCGATATAAGAGTAGGCCATAGTGCCGCTGCCCGGGCAAAATTTTCCTCATAGCACACTGAATGGGGTATGCCCGTCTTCATTAGCCCAGTCGGAGCAGTATGGTAGGACGTTAAACACCATTTCATTTCATTTCACTTCATTTCACTTCATAAGTGATCTAGTGAGATTTATAAGATAGGTCACTATTGTCACGGTATGTTTTCGTTCGAACGACAAAAGAATTATTTTTGCACAGTGCACAGAAAGTAATTAGTGATGCGACAATAACCTCTAATTAGATTTGAAGGTCGTAAAACGTCTTTGCTAAATCTTATCAAACACAGGGAAGCCATTTTCTCTCATGCTTATCTACGGTTTATATTTAAGACGTTTTCATTGGCTAACAAACTCGTTTAACGGAGTGACAGTTACATCTGAAAATGCACTTGGATTATGCCATTTGTTTCATTGAATTTTTCTGTGACGTATTTATCAGAAGAAGTAACTTTGTTCCCTTTAGCTCTAAGATTATTTTCCAAAATATGAAATATAATATTTTCCCCCAGAACCCATGTTTTACAAAAGTCAATCGCAGCAACATTTTGACTCTTATAATCCACTTCATATATTTTATATAAACTTCCGCCTTACATCTGAAACCGTTTTAATGAACACAACTTCCGGTTTGATATGTCGGTATTACACACGTGTTGCTTCATATATACACCGGTAAATCTCGCCTACTTGTTTACAAATGTGTTTTTGGTAAGGTATTTTAATTTTTTTCTTTAAAACTGAACATGACTATTTCAATTATGGAGTTGTCACATATCAATGTTAATAATACACAATCCCTGCTCAATAATAAATAGATTTTGTTCGATAATATTTAATATAATAAATATTAATATACTCAACTGTATGAATAAACTCAATAAAATGATTATTGAGATTCCCAATACTGTGTGAAATTAAAGTGATGAACCAATTGACTGCTTTATGCAGAAAAAATATTGACGTACCGTACATGTGTAGTGGGGTAATTAATTAAGTGGATTCCCATCACCGAGGAAGGCAGTATAAATTATATTATACTACTACATAATTACGCTCCCAGCTACATTTACGATTTAGCCTACAACATACATATGTAAAATGTTCGAACATTGGAAGATCTTCTGTAGAAGGGGGTTGTTGTCTTTTTCAATTTATTCTTACCATTTGTACTAATATATACTTGTACGTCCACATTTTCATGTGGACATATTTATTATGCCGCTGCCCCCGTCCGTCCGTCTGCATGTTTTTCTTGTCGCTTTGCGCTCACAGCTACCACCCCCATGGGCCAACCCACTACACCATTGGATAATTATGTTCCAACACAGGTATTATTATTACTCCTCTATAAAAGTGTACTTTTTCTTCTTTTCAGATGCTGTAAAGTTCCTGCTAGGCTTCAAACGGCGGTAAAATGGAAGATATAACTTCAGAATTAATAAAACAGATGAAAGATTATCCTATCAACGAAAAAATATCTGAATTATTTAACCTAACAGATAATAAAGAAACGCTGATTAAAACACGACAAGTTATTCAAGATCTTAAAAAAGAACCGGACTTGTTAAGTAACAAGCTTATACTCCGCAGTCTGAGTTATCTTTTCTTTAAACATAGTGAAGAAGGGTCTAAAATTTCTGTACGGAGACTTTTATCAAGTTTTTTCAACAGTTTATCAAAACCTACGCAAAGTGATCTGGGTGACATTTTTCATAATCTAACTTTGACAAAAACTGGAGAGACCATTTTATTGGACACATCTTCTGTTGTGATTCGTCAGAATGTCGACATTTTGGCAAGTCTGTTAGAGAATTTTCAACTTGGCGAAGTTTGTGTACGTCGCGCTGTCATTCCATACACTGATTATTTAGTGAAAGCACATGGACATTTTCTGATGCTGACAAGAGCTGCATTGTCTCCAGTAGAATTAAATGTAGCCATGCATCACTGTCTTGTGACAGAGCAACTCTTAAACCGAATGATCCAAAAATGTTTTGATACTTTGCTGGGTAAATTGGAGGCACAGGAGAACGGCGTTCAAAACACGCTACGTAACTTGATAATTACGAATATTGATATTTTACGCAATGACAATATGTTAATTGACTGTCGCTGTAATGCTGGTATAACCTTGACCTTTGTGTTGCGATTGTGTTGTGACAACCAATTATCTAATTTATTAGTTAAAATGTTCGATAATGGGTCACATTTCATAAACATTCAACTTCCGGAATGGTTGAAAGAAACGAAAATTATTGATTTGAATAGTCGAAGTCTTTCCTCCACAAGTTACCTGTGTTTTTTATTTGGAATCCTGTCCAAGCTAAACCCAGAACATTTAGTGGTTGAGTTTTCAGAAGACAAATATCTACTCACCGACGTTTTTCTTTCTGAAACCATGCAACTTGTTTCCAAAGTCACAAATCCAGCGAGTAAAGTTGTTTTAGCAAAGTTGATCTACTTATGGACGATGAAAGCCAATTCACTGACAGAAACACAAATTCCATCACCTTTACAGGTTAGGTTATTGGGTCATAGTGAAGATACCAGGTTGATTCTAGACTATATCTGGACTTCATTAGATGATTCACTCGATGCCGTTAGACAGAATGCTAAATTAGCCTTCGATCAAATACTCAAAACGCATCTCAAATTAGTAACCAGTCTCAAAACTGACAACAGCGATTCCTTTATTTCAAAACTTATTCAAGATGTGCTCGATATTCCTTGGTGTAAAAGAGGAAAATATGCACCGTTGACTTGCTTAGTCGGATCTTTGGGAACAAGTCGTTTGTTGGAAGCTTGCCCCAACATTACAGAGCGTGTCATATTACAACTTGATGATCATACACTGGCTAGTTACTGCGGTGAATTTTACGAGAAACTATTCGAAAGTCATAAGAAAGAGTTGGGTGAAGACAGATCGCCTGAGTGGTTGACAATGTGGGTGAATCCTGTCATTGAAGCTTTGTGTTCGGGAACGAAGAGAACTAAAACACACATCTTACAATACATTCTTCCAAAACTAATGTCTTGTAGTAATAACATACTTCAATATATGATCAAATATCTCTCGAATAAAGGGTCGCAGTCTAAAGGAACTCTAGGGGCTCTTATCATGTGTCTTCGGCGCGGAAGGTCTATGGGACTCTTGGATGATAAACAGAGTGATTCAGAGATGTGGTGTGGTGTTGTTCTGGTTAGCGTTTTAAAGTATGCTTTATCTTCTCTAGATGAACAAATTCGGTTGGATGCATATTCATTATTATGCGAAAACAAAAAAACTACCGAAGCAATTAAACCAGTAGAATTCGAATTAGTCAAATTTTTTATTCCTGCTAATCTGAACAATCAGTCACCTTCGTTTCGCCAACATGTTTCTGCGTACACAAAAAAGTTTTTCGTCCGAATGAAAGACAGTGAAAATTCATTAATAAGACAATTAAAGAAAGCTAAGAAGGAGACGCTAATTTTGAAAAGTAATTTAGAACAATACAAAATCTTTCTGGTGTGGCTTCAGCATCATCTGTTTTCAAGTTTGTATCCAGGAGCAGCTTTCGCTACACGCACCTCCTGTTTGAGAATGTTGGGCAGTATGCTTGATGTTTTACAAAATGACATCAATGATCATTCTTTTTCATTCTATGCCGATTTCAACTCCTCTCATGTTAACACAATCCTTGAATGTATAGCCGACACATTTGAAGAAAATAAAATTGAAGCGTTAAAGATTTTTCAGGGTTACTTAAAATCTGCGCAAGAACCTGTCCTGAAAAACAAACAATTAAAAGAACTGTTTCAGACATGTGTAGAACTCTCAGTTAGCACCCGACCCCAAGACAGTACAGCATCAGCTTATCTGGCGCGTTGTCTGCTCAAATTGGAGCAAACATCAGTGGTCATTGATGCACATAAGATTAATTTAAAAGTGATTGCCCATTGTGATAAAATTCAACTTAATACAGATTGTGATAGGGATGGGGTGAGATATTTGAAATTTTTAGAAATGATGATTCTCTCTTTACAAGACCAGACTGAAGTAGCTAAAAAAGGATTAATCATTGCTGCAGCAAATCGACCCATTTACCCCACAATACACTGCATAAGGTATGTCCTGAAAGACATCAAGTTAAATTCTTACAACAGCAGCAAATCCTGGAAGAAGATGTTGGAAGAACTTATAAAATCCTGCTTGGAAGTAGCGAAGGTAGTTTCACCAGTTGTCCAAGATTCATCTCCAGAGGGAAATGTTCCAGCTGAAGCCATCCGTGGACCAGGATTAAATTTTGATGCCATCATTGAGACTGAAGAAGATAAACAGTTAATGCTTGAAGCAGAAGAAAGTGAAAAAACAGTTACTTTAATGCCGGAGTATTTAGTGGTTTGCTGTTGGAGAAGCATTAAAGAAGTTTCTCTTCTTTTAGGGGAAATAACCCATAAAGCCGATACGTATGATCCAGATGGAAATGATGAAGGTCTTTTATCATTTGAACAGATTGAGGAGATTGGCGATTATTTCATTACTCAGTTGTTAGCTTCAAAACACAGAGGAGCATTTGAGCTGGCTTATGCCGGATTTATTATGATGTGCGAAAGGTTATGGAGAAGTCCAATATCAAAGCTTCACCAACTTCCTAGTCAGTGGTTGGATAAACTTTTGAATGATATCACCAGGGATGATGGAAACTCTGGTCTCTGTTCCACAAGAAGAAGTGCTGGAATACCTTTCTATGCTCAAGCTTTACTAACAACTGAACCACTTGCTAATGAACAGAGATGCTTTAACCAGACCATGAAAAGATTGCTGGAGCTAAGTGTATGCAAAACCTCAACCTCCACAACTGATAATCCTCCCAAAGTCCATGCTTTGAATATACTTCGAGTTCTTTTTAAGGACAACAAACTTGGCGATTTTGTGGCACCCTACATATCAGCTGGATTAAAGGCATCAATCTTGGGTTTCAAGTCCAAGTACTGGTCAGTGAGGAACTCCTCAACATTATTACTTAGTGCCCTGATGGTTAGAATATTTGGCGTTAAAGTTTCTAAAGATGACTCAGATCTTTCCAGAAAGAATTGCTTAACTGGGAGAGCTTTCTTTCATCGTTTCCCTGAAGTTTACAATTTTCTTTTGACTGAATTTGTAGAGGCTACTAGTGTACCTGAAACTCGCAATGCTCTGCATCTTCATCCAAGTCTATACCCTGTTTTAATGGTTCTTGGAAGACTTTTTCCATCGGCACTGGAGGGAACAGATACAAATTTAAATTTAGCTGCCTTTGTACCGTTAGTGATCCATTGTGCATCCAGTCCTGTATTTAAGACTAGAGTAATGGCAGCGAGAGCTATACAACCCCTGGTAGAAAAGGACAGACTAGATTCTATCTTGTTGGAACTGATACACCTGCTTCCCACAAAACCTGATGCTCAAATCAGCTACAGCCACACCCACGGTATTTTGCTGCAGATAAAGTTTCTGCTTGATTCAGTACTTGAGCTTAGCAGATCTGTACAGGCCATTGTGGCGTTTAAGTTGACACCCATACTCTCACAGTACACATGGATCTTATCAGAAGATAGCAAAGCACCAATGGTCATAGAAGAAGCATTTGAAGTCTTTGATCGAGTTCTTTCATTAAAAACTTGTAGCAAGGAAACTGTTTGTGTAAATCCTGTTTATGAAACGTTTTGTGAACATCTGACTAGAGCTATAAAAGATGATGTATCCAGTTGGCCAGGAAGCGACATTTGTAAAGTAACAATATCCAATCTAGCCTTGAAATATCTGCTGATACCAGTGGACAGAGAACAAAATGGTGGGTGTGTGGTGTTGGGGAGGATTTCTGTATATCTACACTTGCTAAACTCCAGTTCATATGAAGTGAGGTTGGCAGTATTAGATCGGATTCTTTCAGTACTGAAATGGTCAAGATCAAATCCAGGAAATAACAAAAATGAAGTTTATCCATTATTTACACTTGTGTCCAGTTCAAAGGATCTTTTAAAACATCTTTTGACGATGGCACTTTTCAGAGAATGGCATTTTGAATGTTTATCAAGGGTCTTTGAGGTCCTTGCTCAGTTCCCAAGATGTGTTGAGCAGATAAATGAATTAGAAATAAGGATGGGTGATGCCAGCGAAAAAACTTTTACCACAACGGATGTCATGTCTTTGAGTCTATCCAGACTAGAATCAGAAAGGAGAGATTCTGTGAAGTGTTCTATCATAAAGGTTACATCCAGGTTTGGTAGTCTTCTCTATAAGCTGATGGCTGATGTTCCTGACAAAATCATATTGCTTTATAAAAATTGGTTTTCGCTATTGCGGGAATACTCAGCCACAGAACAAGATGGAGATCTACAGCTTGCTGTAGCAGAAGTTATTCTAGAAAACACTGAAACACTTCTTCTAGATCCGCTAAATATTATCAAATATTTATCCATAACAGATATTTGGCATATTCTATTTAACCTCCTTCAAGAAGACGATCTCGATGTGAAAGAGGTAGCATCTCAAGTTATAAACAAGATTGATCCATCCTTGCAGGGAGACCTTCAACCAGCATGTGCTCTCCACAAGCTGTTAGAGAAGATGGTTGAGAAATTTTGGAGAATTTCCCCGGAAAAGGTTTTGATGACACTGATTGGGCTTCTTGTTGGTGTGGAAGAAGAGGATGATGACCTTTTATCAGAAGAACGGTTATTTGATAAAGGGGAAATGAATACTTACAGGGACAACTTAAACTTCTTTAGACTTGTTTCCAAGACTCTAAAGAAAACTATTGAAATGTTCAGCAAACGAGAGAATTGCTCTGTTAGTGCACAAGGATGTGGAGATAGTTCAGAACATGGTGACTCTTTAGAAGCACTGAAAAGATCTCTTGTAGGTGCAGCTATTGACTTTTCATCGAGATTATGTAAATATAAAGCATGGTCTCTATCTACACCTTTTAAAGATTCAGCCACTTATTCTAGAACTGTAACTGAATTAAGTAAAGCTTTGTTGTTTCTGAATTGTTGTGAAGGCAGTGTGGTTGCCCAGGATCCCCATCTCCAGCAGCTTCGAGAAACAAGTCAATCAATTCTCAATACAAGTTGTGTTAATTATTGCATCGCCAACATAATTACATAATGCTTCATAATTACATAACCTTTCTCCTTCCGTTGCCCAAGTTTGCTTACTGTGAAAGTACTACATCAGTGTTCATTTGTTTCAAAGTCTTCATTGACTTCAGGCACCTGCTACAGCTCACATACATGTAAATCAGGATTTTATAATAAAGGTGGCTTTTGGTCAAAACTGACTCAAAATACTCGCCATCTAATCTCCAGGAGCATCATGATTTTCAAGATAATTTACAAGTAAATTACAAAAGCAGTTTACACATGTAAAACCAAACCAATATACGTTTCAGTTGTTCAGGGTCTTGATGGATAAACAGCCACTGCGTCTTATAAACGAGCTATACTATATACCGGAAAAAACACCATGTTATACTGAATACAGAAAACACCGGAAAAGCTTTATCCTAACTCCCCGCACACAGAGGATCAGGCTCCATTTTACCTATTTAGGGTGTTTTCTGGTATTTAGTGTGTTTTCCGGTATTTAGTGTTTTTTGGTATTCAGCATAACATGGTGTTTTCCGGTAGATTTCTGGTGTATAGTATTGTGGTTATAAACTGTTTTATTTCAAACTTAAATACTTAAAGAGCCTTCACAAGAGCAACCAATTAAGTTTGTTTTCTAATTAGTCCCCTCCCTCTTCCATAAAATAGGAAGTAAGTTTTTTTTATAACATGTTCGTGTACTTAAAGAAGAAAAGTTAATATTGATGTGGCTGTATACAATTAAATATTCAAGTCTGTACAACATGAATTTGTCCAAAGAGACAGCATACCAGTAAATATCATGTCCATTTAACATAATTTTTGTTTTTTATTTTATTTATTGTATATTATGATTTGTCATGTACATTGTTTGACTTGTGTACAGGTAATATATTTGATATGAGTACTGACTTTTTTTAAAATTTTATTTGTCTTCTAATATTCATGAAAACTCAAAATTGACAAGAGTAGGTCGTAGTGCCGCTGTTCGGACAAAATTTCCCTTGTAGCACACTGTATGGCATATGTCTGTCTTCATTAGCCCAGTATAGGAGCAGAACAATAGGAAGTTAAACCCATTTCATATCATTTCATATGATTATTCCAATTGGAGCAAAAAATTAGGACGTAAAACCCCACTTCATTTCATTATAAAACATGTAGGCTTTGTCCCCAACATGGAAAGTCCTGGAAGTATTCTAACTTTGACTTCTATTTTCAGAGTCCAGTGTCTTTAGCTCACAATTACCCAAAAACAGAAAATGAAAATAGTTGTTAAACATTTGTTTTTATATACAAAGAACTTATTGAATATAACAAATATACACATCATTTCGTTCCGATAACTATCGATTATTAACTATGAATAATTGCATCAATTATGACGAGTAAAATAAACTGTTTAATATCATATGATACAATTTATATGGAAAACAATCACTGGTTTATACACATATAGCACAACGTTTCGACAAGTATTCTCTTGTCGTTATAAAGCATTTTTCGAAACGCTATGCTAGATGTGTATAAACCAGATATTGTATTCCCTATCAATTGTATTGTGTTTTTTTTTATTGTGCTCAATCGCTGACTGCCACTCAAAGATTGATGAATATAGTTTAACATGTTTATAATATTAATATAATACACATTGTTATAGTAATTATTTTCTCGTACATGTAAGTCAGGTCGCTATATTGTTATAGTACTTATTTTCTCGAACTTGTTAGTCATCTCGCTGTAATTAGCCATGTTGTAAGAATAAACAATGATATGTAAAAGTTTACCCCCCCCCCCCCCGATACGAACATGTAAACAATGAACTTCAAATTATATATTCATACTCGCACGTCGGCTCGCTACAGCTAGTTAACAATGATGTAGGAATACACAATGGGTCTCCTGTGTCTCGTACTATTTCATTCACCATGGTCGAATTGATTCAGCTAAATTTCATATTTTGAAATTTCCCAGGTCATTTTTAATACAATATTTTTCAACTCCAATTTATGAACAAATCTGAATTCCACTCTCTGTCAGTCGTGTTTCACGATTTCGGTCTGTGGTGATCACATGACAGAGGTTGATTGGCCAGCAAGTTCCGGGTAATAAAATAATCCGCCTAAAGCATCTTGTAAAGCTCTCTGACAACACAGCGTTGCTTCAAATCCACCGGCACGTTCTGATTCTGATGCTGCTCGTACATTCGATAAATATCTAAAAGAGACAATATTTTATTATAAGTACTTCACATTCAAGTCAGTGTTTGACTTCATAGGGTCAAAAGTCGCTTGTATGACCCCTGACGTGACCTTCCAGTACAACCGGTCAGATCTTCATGAAGTGTAAGCCATCGAAAGTATAAAAGATAGGTTGCCAGGCAACAAAACATACGCCCACAGCAGCTAAATCGTCCGAGCGGTCGTCAAGGGTTGTCGCATATTTATTCCTTTGTAGGTAATTGGGGGCCTTTACAAGACAGTTCCATACAGATCAGATTATAAATTTTGTCGTTTGACGGTTTACAAGGTTCTACAAACTGAAACAAGGGTCTCAACTCCGGAAGTAATCTACAGAAATTGTTGAAATTTGACAGGCTTTTTCATTTTACTAATTTAAATAATGCATAGAAATTTCATACAGATCACATGATCACCTTTGTCATTCAAACGTTCACAATCGCCATAACTCTAGAAATTATTGACGGAAATTGCTGAAATTAAATAGACCTGTTTCACTGATTTAAATGGTGCATATAAATTTCATACATATCGGATGATAACTATCATCAATCGAGCATTAACAAGGTTTAACAAAGTGAAACAAGGGCAATAAGTCATGCCCAAGTCATAATGCCTACTATTTTAAGTCAGAGAATATCTAGCAATTTTGTATTTTGATTAGCCGTGGATTAAGCAATGAAATGGGGTTTAACGTCCTACTGTTCTGCTCCTAACCTGGGCTAATGAAGACGGGCATAGGCCATACAGTGTGCTAGGAGGGAAATTTTGCCCGGGCGAGAAGTTTGATATTTTTCCAACAATTCAGGAATAAGTTGCCTGGTTAAATGATATAATTGTACTTACCCAACTTCTATAATATCATCTATAGTAGGGTAGATAGGACCACATCTTTCTAATTCCAGATCCTCATAGTGATAAACAGGATTGGCTTCGGTCATAGGCATTGGAATCAGACCACTCTGTTGACCCTGCAGACATCAATTATTCAATCAATAGTTGTAATTTACTAGTCAGACTAATACAGAGAGAGAGATGGGGTTTAAGGTCCACTCGACACAAACAAGGTCATTTTGGGACTAACATGGTTCAATTTACTTCAATAATTTTCTTGTGCATAGGGGTCTTTAGCAGTGGGAGAAAATTAGAGATTGGACAGACGTCCCTACTCCTTGTCCCAATAGGGAATCGAAACCACGCCAGTCGACACAATGACCTTATGATACAATATGATACAAGAGGGCCTGTGAATGTTGAAAGAGTTGCACACATTCAATGTTTGTAACATTACTCCACACTCAAAAAATACCAAGCACCAAAAGGCGGTTTTGTTTTTATTTTGTCAAAATTGATCTAGCTCGTTTTTCATTTTTAAAAAACATACAAAATTATTATAAATTTAATATTCATTCAACTCTAAATGAGAAAAAAAATCACCCAAAATAAGTAAGAATTGAAAATACTGCAGGAATAATTATGTGACTTTATCTACAGTAACTCCTGGGAAAATGTTTTCAAATTCGTTCTTTTTTATTTTGGTGACTATTATTAGATTTACATGAAATCGATAACGTATTCATTGTTAAATCATGGATTTTGCTTGCGATTTAAATCGCAGTCTGCACCGTCCATCTACCTACAGAGAATACTTCACAGTCATATTTCTCGGGAAAGGTAACTTACTCATCATAAATCAATATTCGATTATCTAGTGCCGTTTGTGTTTCCCATAGTAACATACTTCATAGCCGATCTAGTGTTCATTTCCCGTTGTAAAAAAAACTTCAATAGAGTTACTTCCCTTTATCACGGGAAACATGAACATGCAGAAATTATTGACTTTAATTTTATTTTTTGATGAGAACCGGAATATTATTTTTGTGTGGCATTACGTGGGACAAATCAATGTATAGGTTACCTACCCTTTGTATTCCTGTAGAATAGCGAGTAGTTTGTGATGGTTGGAAACTTGAGTTATCTACTGCCTCTGCTGGTCGGGCAGTTGTTTTATGCATCGTTAAAATATCAGCTGCTGACATGTCAGAAAACATCTACAATAAAAACATCAATTCAATTAAATGTACAGTTAAACATACATGATACAAGAGATAAACATGCCTATTGCAGGTCTTTTTTTAGGCCTTTAGCCTTAAATGTTATATAAATTATTAATTGGGCATTTATTATCAAAACAAGACCATAATCAACTCTCGATGCCAGGGGATACTCAAGATTTTAACTAGATTTGAACGGTTCGCCATTTAAAAATTGAATTTAAAAATGGGAAAGCGAGGCTAAGTCTCGAATATACCAGTGCCCTGGTTACTACAACGCACACATCTCGTCAAAACTACAATCAGTGATAACTTGGCTCAGAATAAAGTAATTTGCATGAAATTTTCAATATATCCATTTTACATTATCTATTATAGCAAAAATGGTCAATCTTTATCTAAATCTTACAGCCTAAAAACATTGAATTCCAACTGCCAAGGGATATTTTACGTGCAGGCCATTGTGTAAACAGGACCTTGGTTTTTTTGTCCTATCTGAACGACTATACGCTGTCCCTTGTAATTAAGTCATGATATGGTTGTAAGGGATGTGACTCTAAATAAGATAGTCTCTGTCATCCAGAAAAATATTTTACGAATATTAGCCAGGATGTGTTGTCAACATTTGAGAATAATAGGTCATTGGCTAGAAGATCCGGTCTTCTACATTATCATAAAATTTGTCTCCTCATGGGCATATCTAAGTTTTTAAAATTAATCCTAATTCATGTTTGTTTATATTAATGCAAGAATTATGGGATTTATTGCGGGATGGGGCGCAACTCTTACTTGACTTGGCCAAAGATACTGGATAATCAACCACATAAAATACCTAACTACCCGTTACGCATGCGCAATGGAACTTTTCGTCAAACATTGACAACGGTCCCAGACCCTCCGTACGTTGTATAAACAAGAAAGAGATGTTAATAGGTTAATATAATATACAATAATCAGCATATACCAGTTCATCAATCAAGGCCTCTTTTTCTCGTCTTTTCTTGTTTTTCTCCAGTACCTCGGTATCATGAATCATCTGTTTACGTAGCGATGATGTTTTCTCTTCCTCTTCTATTAACATCTCTAAATACTCTTCATCACGACTCTATAAATAGTAACATACATATACTACCAAACCAATCTATATTTAGTTAACATAAATAGACTACCACACCAATCTATATTTAGACTACCACATCAATCTATAATTAGTAACACAGACTAATCACCAATCCATATTGAGTAACCTAAATAGAACATCAATCTATAAATAGGAACATAATCAGAGCTTAAATGGCAACGCATGCATGAAATCTCCTTTGTGGTCCGGATAAGGCACTAGTATTGGTTCCTTAACAGCCGTAATGTTGATCAAGAACGTGGGCTATCGAAAATGACAGAGTCTGAAACTACATCTGACCCATCGGTCAAAACCCAACTTCCAAACATGGCTACGAATATTATTGACCTCCGCCATGTAATGTCATTTAACTATAAAATTCGACCGCCTGTACAAATTAAAGTAAATGTTTAGAAGCCACATAATCTCATGATTGGTGTTTTAAAGTTGTATATAGTTGTCTCTCCTTTATTTCAATCAAGGCTTACAAGAGGCTATTGCCTATGATTGGTTCCTCCGTCAAGTTCCTTAATACCCCACCTCTTACTTACAAGTTTAGATTGATTTTTACGAATGGCATCTTTATTTTCTTTCTTGTAACTATCAACCTGTCTTCTCGTGTCCTCAACATCAATACCATTTGCAAGGTTATAAACTGAAATAATATATAAAGAGGGTTTAAGGTCCACTCGACACACACTGTGCCATTTCAGGACTAACATATATGGTTCACTTTTATTTCAATAATTCGCTTGTGCGTAGGGGTCTTTAGCAGTGGGAGGGAACCGGAGGACCCAAAGAAAACCCACGAGGTTGGACAGACGATCCTACTCCTTGACACATACAAGGATTCGAAACTACTCCACTTGACTCAATGACAGACATTGCCGTTTCATGTGAATGCGTTAACCCACGAGACCACTCAACCAAAAGACTGTTGTACCTCAAAAGGAGTCATAAAGATGAGGAATGATGACAAGCAAAACTCAATGACATGACCTTATGATACAGCGCACACAAGCAAACCATTCAGTCATCCAACCCCGAAATAATATAAATCAACAAGTAACGAAAAGCTAGGAGATTAGCGTCTCTTGGCTTCAAGTAACGGAAAGCTAGGAGATTAGCGTCCCGACCCACGCTTCAAGTAAAGAGAGAAACTAGGTTATTTTGGGACCAACATATGGTTCAATTTTTATTTGCACGTAAGGGTCTTTAGCAGTGGAAGAAAACCGGAGGACCCAGGGGAAAATCCATGATGTTGAACGGACGACCCTACTCCAAGTCACGTACGAAAGGGGAATAGAAACCACATATTTTATGAGCTAATGTGATACGCTTCAAACCATCTGGCCACAAAACCCCCTCTCTTCGAGTAAAGAAAAGTGGAACAGTGCTGAAGAACTAAAAATTAACTAGGTTTGGCCTTGAATATTATTTTTATGGTCAGCAGTAAATTGGACCCAAGCTGGGTCCAACATGGCCGCTGCATATTAATGAGTATATTGGGGAATACCAACCCTAACCCTCTTTAGGAGGGTAAAAGGTTAATTGGACCCACTCATTACTATGCATTGGCCACGTTGGACTCCACTTGGGTCCAATTAACCACTGACCATTTTTAATACACAACGAATATAGATCAGTTGGCAACAAGAATGAAAAGAAATGAAAGTAAAACTTACTGATGGTTTCTATCATTTCTAGATAATCGTTGTATTCTCGTAAACTATCAAAATCTTCTTCTTTCTTATTATAACTGAAAACAAATAATATTTATTTATCATATTACTTTAAGGAACTTATCTGAAAACAAATCAAATATTTATTTATTATACTTTAAAGGAGCTAATTCTTTAATATTTGGCACCTAGAGAAATGGACACAAATGGGTCACAACGCATAATTTGAAACTATATAAACTGATTTACATTCAATCGTTTCTGTTTTTACTGTAATATCTAATCAGTTATGTTCGGCGAAATACACGAAGAGTCCTAATTGAGTAGCATTCTTTGGTGTCTGGTTATTCCAGTCTACACCTATAGTATTCTCCCCTGGGATATGTTTAGCCTCGTTCATCGTAAGGCATCATCACAAATGGCGCTCAAAAGCATTCTGGCACATGATTCGTGTGCCAATTTCAAAATGATCACTGGTACAGCCATGCGATCTTTTATGTCCACACCAATGTATATACGTGGAACACTTTTTTGCATCATGACAGATCAACTAAACATTTTCCCAATCTTGCCAGAAGGCACCACTCCTAACAGGTGATGTGAAGGTTTTCCCACTCCCTAAATGGAGTTGAAACATGTGACATTTTGATTTACCAGTGCAGACCATAAACATTTTTGGACTATTCGAATGCAGGGATATATATTATTCCATTTGCACCAATAAATATTGACGAAAATGAAGAAAAGGTACGACATAAAATCAAAAAATTTCTCTTTAGCTCTTTGAAAATTTTATTTCCTCACTTACATGTAGAACAAAAGACATTATACACAAAGTGACCTCCAGTTACATGTAGTTACCCCAAATATACACCAAAAGGAACATATGTATCTTTCAAAAAAATTGATCCTGGCCCAAAGAAAAGTGTGGGTCGCAGGGGCAGGGGTGTGACGAAGAACAGAAGGTATATTTAGGAACAATATACACCCCTGTTCAAATGACCAAGAACTTACTCTTTCAAGATTTTCTTTCTGATGTCAATTTCTTTTTCTACTTGTGCGTCCTCGAATATCTGGTAACGAAAATTACTTCTTCTGATGGCCGTTCCACATTCTGGACACGCTCCTGATCCTTTTATAAACAACAGATCTACACAGTTGTCACATCTACAAAATATAAAAAATATATTCCATATTTCTAATTTTTACAATTAATTCTCGAAGATCACTGAAATCTTTCTTGCAAGGAAATAAGCAGTCTGCATTAAGTTGACCACTAGAGTATTCAACAAGGGATTATGATGAACGGTGTAAATGAATTTAAATATTTCTATAAAAAATATCGCTGTAGAGTTAACCTAGAGCATTCAAAAAGGAATTATGAATGAAAAGCAGTGGTGTCAATAACTATTAATATTTCTATGTGGGCCTATAAAAAATATTGCTGTGGACATAAAAATGTATAATAGATAGAGGAAAATTCAACACAATTTCTGTTGGGGGTCAGAATTTGGATCTTAATTTTGCATACAGTACAAGAATGAAATTTACTGCATATTTTAGACACATTTTTCTATGACTGTACATATTAGGTATGTCATATGATCACATTAAGACCAATGAATGGGGGCAAATGGATGCCCTTAGCAAGACTCAGTGTGAACTGCCTTGGGTTACCATCCATAAATCTTAAAAGAAGCCAAGAAATTACATTATTTTAGCATATCTATGAACATAAATGGATTATTGGCTATCGATGTACATGTTCATGTATATGTCAGTTGGTAAGTGAGTCATAGTTAATTTCATAGATAAATATGGTTTGGAATGGGTGAGGGGTATTTGCCGACAATTTTCCGAAAGCTCCTACGAAGGGCAGTCCATAGATTTACCCTAAACAACTTTAATTACCTGGAACAAGCTGTATATTGAATAAAACAACACAGCTTTATGATTTTTTCTTTCTTTTTGTATATTAATATTAAATGAATAGTCCCTAAACTTTACTCTATAACAAATATTGTTTTTTTAATTAATCATAATTTGTACGCAGAATGCTTGGCAGTGAATCAAAATTCCTCTGCAGACAATATTTTTACCATTTTGAAATTTTTGTACATTGTACATGTATTAATAAAACTATAGTGGGGCCACCTGTAATAACATATTGCTATTGTCATCGCCTGACGATATCCAATGATTAAAAAATAATACAAAGAACAATTTTCATTCCTTATTATTGATGCTAAGCACAAACATGTAAACTGTAATTATGATATGTAGGATAAAGAAAGATTGGTTGGGAAGAACCCGCCGTCTGGGGTGAAGTGGTTTGGGGATAAAATGACTCGAATCCACCTTGATCACAATAAAAGTTATCTTTCTTGCTTTTATCTACCATTTACTTCCGGTTTTTTTTTCAGAACTGTTAAAGAAAAGTGTTGATTTTGAGCTTGTCGTGTAAATAAATGTCTAATTAACAATTGGGTAAATCTATGGACCATGTGAAGGGTTGCAATGAGATTTCAGTTGAAGTCAACAACAACAAAAATAACATTCCAAAAACGATTACTGAATAAAAATTATTATTGATTGAAATAATCACCAAAATCACTAAAGGTAACATTTGAAGGTAACATTTCCAATATAATAATATTGCCTTAAAGGGGGCCTAATCGATTCAATTTTGAAACCAGCTGACGCACAATACTAGATCTTTGTACGATCTGAGAAATATCTTTCTCTAGGGTTAGGGTTAGGTTTATAAATTACATATCAAAAAAAAAAAAGAAAACTGTAACAACGGTGGATTGTGGCTAAAACTATTCTGAAGGGTTAGGGTTAGAATTGTGGGTATAAACACGGAAAAAATCATATTTCTCAGCAGTGACTAAGTAAATCGCAGTTCCGAAGTACAAAAAAGCGGCGCTGGTTGGATGATCTGACTACTTGTTCTTAGGTTTGTATGTGGATTATGGGTTAGGGTTAGGGTAGTTTACTCGTAGTCAGATCAGTCAAAAATGCCCAAAAAGCTAAATTTAAAATTGTGAAGAATGTTTACTAAACTGAGTGCGACTTACAAAGAATGTCCGCAGACGTTTACCATCAACTTCAATGACGGATTTCTATATTTGGTAGTTTTACATCTTGGGCAGCCTTGCTCATCCATATTGTCAGATTATCTCTTTACTGAAAACTCTTCCTAACATTTTTATTTAATTTCTACGAACTTCAGGAAAACATGTTAAATTGTTGACAGTTCACTTTTGCTTCTCACTTTCCAAAGTTTCCATACAGGGGAGAAAACTCTTGAGATAATATTTAGGGATCAGACTAGTAATTCTTCAACGTTAAATCCTTGACATTTCCTGGCCTATACATTGAGTTAGAATTCTTTGACCTTTATAACTTAAAGAGCCCAGCATGTCTAAATCATCTGATATTCTTTTGGGTGGGAAGGGGGGTAGGGGAGAGGGGGGATGGATGGGTGGGTGGGTTCGGGGGGTTCTACGTCTCATGGTTTCTGAAATGAAATGGAGTTTCATGCTACGTCAGCTTCAATGTTCATTATTCCCTATCAAATTTCATTGACGCGATATATAAAATACATAGGCAAGTAGATCTATCTACAGATCTATAGTCAGCCTTTCCTGACGTCAATAACGTCCCAATATTCATCAGTGCCATGACGACATTTTTATGACTGGTTAAAAGTTACAACCAAGTCCAAAGTTTAAATGCGCGCAAACTTATAAAATCATTTTACAAATTTAAAATGGGATGCAAATGTACAAAACCCGGCCGAATTCATCCAGTTGACCAAGCAGCTGTATTATAACAGACTGAACAACACCGATATAGAAGAGGGGAATATAACAAGACAGCCTAGAGTTCCAAAAAGAAGGGATTATAACAAGACAGTCTAGAGTTTCAAAAAGAAGAGAGTATAACAAGACAGTCTAGAGTTCCAAAAAGAAGAGACTATAACAAGACAGTCTAGAGTTCCAAAAAGAAGAGAGTATAACCATTTTACCACTATAACCGGTTACCATCATAAGACTAAGATACCAGAGGAAATTGATGTCATCAACCAGTTACAGAACGAAGGATTCTTGCATGGCCCAAAACTCAGATCGGCTGTTGGGTTGAGCTATGGCCTAGTCGATAATACGTACAATCGTAGCTCGATCAACAGCTCGATAAGCAAAACTAGAAAGATCTGGGCACGTTCCAACAAAGCACGAAATAACTGCAAAACTACCGTTCTATTAATCAAGCAAACCGGCTACCATCATAAGACTAAGAGACAAGAGGAGATTGAGATCATTAACCAGTTACGAAATGAGTGATTCTTGGATGGCCCAAAACTTAAATGGGCTGGTGGGTTGAGATATGACCTAGTCGATAATACAACCATAGCTCGACACCAGCCCAATTAGCAAAACTAGAAACATCTAAACACATTCGAACAGAGCAGGAAATAACTGCAAAACTACAGTTCTAATAATCAAGCAAACCGGCTACCACCATAAGAGACAAGAGGAGGCTGGTGTCATCAACCAGTTGCACATTGAGGGATACTTGGATGGCCCAAAATTCTAGGGAAGGCGCCATCAACACGTCTGAGGGGAATTTTTTGGAAATTGTTGTATAAAGTCATTGTCTGGTACATCTGTAGTGTAGACTTGAGTCGACAGTCTGATTTTGAATAGTGGGGAAGCAAGTAATTACCGCCGTGTACAACCTTACAATTGTGAGGTATTGAATCTAAACGTGGTTAGTGACCAGTGATTTGTTGCAGAGAAAAAAGGAAGCAATGGTTGCAAAGCTGCTGAGGGGAATCGTTGAGGCTAAACGGAATACCACACACAGATTGCACAATGTGAAACAAAACAAAGAATTGGAAATTAAAGGAATTGCATGAAAAAGAAAAGCATGTCCATAAAGTGCGACAGAGAAAAGACATTAATTTGGACGATCTGAATCCTGAGTAAAATAGGCCCGTGGGTAGCTTCGTAGTTGTATTTGGACGATCTGGATTCTGTGCAATGTGGGTAGCCTCGTACTTGTGTTTGGACGATCTGGATCCCATGTAAATAAGCATGTAGTTGTTTTTGTCTTTGTATATATAAGGTGCTTGATGTATAATATGGGTACCGTATATATTCAAGGGTTTACTAGTTGTTTAATTTACAATATTAATTTTAAATTTACGTAACAATGTAACCCATAGTATATATTGTACATTCCCATCCATGTCATTATATATGTATTTACACTTATATATGTACGTGTTTGTCATTTCCTAACTATGTATATACACCCATTTTGTTCCTTTATTTTAATATCATGTATGTATTTTATCTAGGGAGAGGGGTTTTACATAGGCTTGGGCTGTTCCCCAATCCCATTCAGACATCCTGAATAATAATATTTTTTATAAAAAAAGAAAGAAAAAAAAGGGGTGTGGTGTATATTGTGGAAATATATGTAAGGGGTTTGGTGTCTAATGTGGGTATATATTAAGGGCTTGATGTATAATGTGTGTATATAAAGTTGCAATTTCATATTTTTAAGTTATATTTTTAAAATTTATTAAAATAAAGCCTTAAAATAGATGGCATCTATAAACAGTCCTACCTTGTTAAAGAATAATCCTATTAATCCTATAATTCACTAATATTGCCAGTTGAGAAATTGGCAAAAATATCATTTTTATCTTCAAATTCCAACGTTTGAAGATAGCTACTCCATGGTGGAGAGTAGAAAACAAGGGAGGTAATTGTGTTATTTCCGGTGTAAATGAGTTTTAAGTGTGAGAATGACACCTATGATCGTATAAGAGCAAAAGACATAGAAATAATTATGTTTTGACTTTCTTAGAAAATATGAAATTGTAACTTTAAGGGGCTTGATGTATAATGTGGGTATATATTTAAGGGGCTTGATGTATAATGTGGGTATATATTTAAGGGCTTGAGACACAGGATTTGATGTCTATTTATAGGTATTGATCTAGATTATCAGGGTTGACATAATATTGGTGGGGCTTGGTATATAATATTGGGGCATAGGTAATGTTATACATTAGTTGGGGCTTGGTATAAAATATTAATACTAATAGAACACAGATATCGATTTATAATAATAAAGCGAGCTAGGGGCCGGACCCCTTCCTATTCAGGTTCAATTTGCGGGTCCTAGGCTAGAGTCGGAAATGGCATCAGCAGCGTTCCATATTTTCAGACAGGGTCCGGCATCAGGTGTGAGGTCTCGGCCTGTGGGGAAAGAAACAAATGCATGATTAGATTAGGTTTTGGTTTTATTGAGCTGATTGACTGGTTGACAAAACACAATGCACTGGGAAAGAATTGACTAACAGTAAACATTTGGTAATATGAGCACTAGATTAGTAGCCTAGATATCAATCATCTATTCTAATTTCTATAGGATAGGCTAGGCTAAAACTAAAACTAAAGGCCTTCGTCAAAGACTAGGCCTAATCAACAACAGTCAACACTGTGGCGTAACAGTGTGTAACGCTGGTAAATGAATAGCTTGAATCTATATGACCAATTAAAATATACTAGTAATACTACTGAACTATTACAGTTACCTGACATTAATTTACTTATATAAGTTAAGGTATGGAGAGGTTTAAATAGTAATATTAAAAAGATGGCTGCCGTGCCAATCCACAACATGAACATCTCAACATCATTCTTAATTTATAATTAGGCTAACATTTAGGTGTTTTACCTGCTCTGCTCATTACTTAATCAACAAGAATTACCATGAACACTTATTAGCTATTTTAATTAAGTTATAGTGATGAAAAAACTAAATAATTACTTGTGGGGTAAGAAACAAAAGCAAGACTTGTGACATTAGGAGGCTAGATTTGTGTCTGCTGGCTGACTGGCGCGTTGACAAACCCAGTGCACTCTGGGAAAGAATTATCTCCCTTTTATCAAACGTTGCAAAAACTGTAGTTATCTCCCTTCTATCGTTAGCCTAACTCGAAATAATAGACTGGCGAATTGTCACAAGACACTGCAATCTGAAAGTTCTGGACACCACCGATGAAACGTGTATGTACATGTATATAGGGGACTTTTGATGTAAATTTATGGCTATGAATGCATATTGTATGTATATTGGAACTTTTTATATGGCATATCTGGTTCATAGTTTTAGGTATTTATATATATTGGCATTGATTTATAAGTATATTAGGTGCTTATATATTGGTAGATATGGTATTATAATGTACGGGTACTGGTAGACCTATATTGCTACATATTGGATGTTTATGGGTATTGATGTATTGATCTATTGATTATTGACACAGGCACTATAAACCTCAGAATGCCTCGTTCGGCATTTTTGTCCTAACGTGGCAATAACGTGTTAAAATATTTGCCACAATTTTGCCACGTTGTAACGTGGTAAAAACAAAATGCAACGTTTGTCTGGAGTTCCAAAACGTTTTTTTTTTTAAAATTGCCATGTTTTTGGAACGAGGTATTTTGTCCAGAACGAGGCTGTTCACAAGGGTGGATACACGATTTTTCAAAAGGATATCGAGGACAGCATGCTATTATTTAGTGACACTTTCAAGCGATTATGTAGAGAAAAAAACCACAAGGCAAAGTCGACTAGAAATGACATTCGTTGCATAAAAAGAGTTTGTTACATTCTTTGTTGCAGTTTCATATGTCCACACAATATTTCCAACAATGGGATCTGAGAAATGAAAAACAGCCAAGTTGAAAGTTGAGCGAACTTAATAATTGTATTTTAGGTCTTTGAACATTATTAATTACAAATATACTGTTCCGGTTTTATATAGAGTCGAAAATCAGAACCATAAAAAAACACGAAACGAAATAAAGATACAATTTTTATTAGATTATTTGTTTTTTAAATCAAAAGATTTGCTCCTATTTTGTTATCGGGCATTTATTTATTCATCTTTATTTATCTGTGGTCGTAATTTCTCTAATGGTGGAATCATCTGTGAATCTGTATCCGGGTAGATCTCTATAATGTCGTCAGCTTTAGTTGTTGATAGAAGCCAGGTCTCGTATCGTCTCAATATCGTACCAGTTACAATATGGACAACAAATAAACTGTAAAAAGATAGCGAAAATAATTAGTTCGAAGTCTCACAACAAGTTTTACAACGCAGGGATCGACTGACCTTAAAGGTCACCGGAAAAGGTTCATAATTTTTTTAAATAATGCAAGTAATTATGTCAACATATCCTTTCCATAAGTATATGTTGACATAATTACTTGCATTATTTAAAAAAAAATTATGAACCTTTTCCGGTGACCTTTAATATATGATAAAACATGATAGGATCACCTCAATTACTCCACGATTAAAACCACGATTTCAATTGTAGCGGGGGATCGTGATAGTAGGAACCTAGCTCAAGGAACTCTTGACAAATTCGATGACGCGTAGGGCGTGGATAAATTCTTCAGTCTAGCTTTGCACACTTGACGATATAAACAAACACAACCGTATGTTAGTCCCAAAATGATCGAATTAAGTTGAATGAAACGGGGTTTGACATCCTACTCTTCTGTTCTAACTAGGCCAATGAAGACGGGATCTCCCGGTTAGCGAGACAACGTCTTACTCCCTGAGCCACCGCGGCTCCTTGATGTAAGCTGATGATGACAAGTTAAGCTCAATTCCAGTCGACAAACGTAAAATCAAGTTAAAAGCGCACTTACCCGAGAAATATGAGCGTCAAGAATCCAAGTCCAACTATTCCAGAAATATTAAACGATTCACTGAAGGCTAGAACTAAAACACAGCCCATTGGTAAAATATTTAATCCAATTCTTCTACTGACGACATCCGTGTAATCTGTCGCTGCCTGGGCAATATAAAATACAACTCATTATCTCAGAAACTTAATCTGTACAATAAGCTAGTTTCAGAAAAAAAAGATGCAAAAATACGGGATAAAATGCTCGAATTTCTGCCTGAGAAATATACAACTCAGATAATCATCTTAGAAAATTCAATTTAAAACTCTTTATGTATAATAACTTAGATTCAGAAAACACCCGATCGGATTAAAAAAACAGATCTATATTTCGTTTCTTGTTTTATACTTTCGGTGGCCTACACCACATGAAGTAGTAAAGATTAGTAAAACGAAATTTTAAACCATAAAAAACGAAACGAAATAGGATCTTTGTTTTAATCAGATTGGACAATACCCGAATTTATTGTATTTATAAATTTTGAATTCTTTCTTATGGTTTTAAAATATGTAGCCGTTACAGGGTAAATTAAACAATATGGGCTTAGTATAACTCATTTTCTTAATACAAGAAAAACAAACCTTAAACCATTTGACCAATATTACATATTATCACGTTTGCGCCGACCCACCGATTGATCTGTCGACCAAGTGCGGATATGTTTACAGAATAGTTTGGTTGTGCACCCTACGTCTTTCTGCATAAATCTCGTTTTCGAAATGTCCATCTCCATGGTAGCGTATAACAATGATAGATGTAAATTACTTACTAGTTTCTGTCTACATGATGTCATATCAGTTGCTAGGGTAAGTCTATACTGGTGATATTCCTGAATTAAAAACACATTTCATCAGATACATTAAAACATCTGGGACCATTTTCGCTAATTTCAAAATTTGGAACTCAAATCTTTTTGTGTTAAATTAATTTTGTCCTCAAAGGAATAGGAATAAAAAGTTAGTACGGCTCAATTCTTTGGAACCTTAATGTATATGTGAATGAAATGAAATGAAATGGGGTTTAACATCCTGCTGCTCTACTCCTAACTGAGCTAATGAAGACGGGAATACGCCATATGAGGGAAATTGCCCGGGTAGAGGCACTATGGCCTACTTTTATATCGAATTCCAACTGCCAATGTATACATGGGACCTCGGTTTTTCGTCCTATCCGAACGATTAGACAGCTTTCTTTGTCAGACCCTCCGTCCTGCACCACTGACAAGGGGAAACCACGTCGGAAAACCCGATGAACTATCTCGGCCAATGCAGAGATCGAACTCCCGATCTCCAGGCTAGCGAGCCAGCGTCTTACCCACTTATAGCCACCGTCGCTCCCCTTACAATAATGTAAATTGGTCTAAAAGCACATATACTTGAATATAAGGTGATTTATATTACGTTTTTAAAAAAAAAAAAAAATAATTATTTCTAATCATTTATGTTCAATAAAATACGTGAATTGTCCAAATTGAACTATGGTCTTTTAAGTGTGCTTTGTTCATCATGTGTAGTCCAGGCTACACGGTTTCAATTATCATTATGGCGAATAAGCCATAATTACTTAGTCATTGCCTAAGAGATGGCATATTTCCCATAAAGATTTTAAATCACCTGTTAAATAAAGTTATAAGAATCGTGAATGAATATTTACATGAAATGAGATTTTATTAAATTTGGCGACAAATGCCAATTTCACCCAATCTGCAACAATCTCGAAACACAGAATCCACAAGGCATCGGGTAAAATAACGAGAAGATAGTCTACAAATAAAACACAATTATCGAATTATAAATCATATTTAGGATTATCCTCTCTGGTCTTGATTTACGAATCTGGATGATGTTAACAGGGGTAATAGAGAAATGGGGTTTAACGTCCACTCGAAACAAACTAGCTTATTTCGGGATTAACATATGTTTCAATTTTATTTCAACAATTTGCTTGGGCGTAGGATTCTTTAGCAGCGTGAGGAAACCAGAGGACCCGGAGAAAACCCACGAAGTTGGACAAGCGACCCTACTCCTTGTCACGCACTAGCGGGGATTCTAAATCAGGCCATTTGACTCAATGGCAGAACTCATGATCTAACGTTAAACCATTCGACCCCCCCACCCCAAAAAAAAATGTGGAGAAGTAGATTGATGTCGCCATTAAATGCGAATTTCAGGACGAATCATCGGTAATCCTGAAAGAGGAGATACGCGCGAAACGTCGTAGATTTTACTGGTGCATTTAAGATTTGACCATGTTTTCCTCTTGATGTCGAACTTTGATTTGTGTTATCATCGTCGTGATCGAATCGCAGGTGGGCCTTTCAGTGCCTAATTTCTTGTGTCTAGTATAAAGCCGGCGTTGGGTAAATTCTAGCGCAATTTGCCCTAGTAAATATAATTTGGTTATTTGACTAGAAATTTAATGAAATGAAATAGAATTTAACGTCCTACTGTTCTGCCCCGACTGGGCTAACGAAGACGGGCATATATTTTGCTATGAGGGGAAAGTTTGCTCGACCAGTGGCGCTACAGCCTACTCTTATATCGAATTCCAACTGCCAAGGGATCTTTTACGTGCACACCAACGTGTACACGGGACCCACGTTTTCGTCCTATCCGAACGACTAGACAGTTGTTCTTGTCAGGCCCTCCGTCCTGTGCCACTGTTATTTGACAAGAGCGTGTTTTGGCAACATGTATAAAACAAGGGGGGTTTAACGTCCACTCGACACAAACTAGGTCATTTCGGGACTTCACACGGTTCAATTTTATTTCAATAATTCACTTGCGCGTATGGGTCTTTAGCAGTGGGAGGAAACCGGAGGACCTAGAGAACACCCAAGATGTTGGACAGGCGGCCCTACTCCTTGCCACATACAACCGGTGAATCGAAACCACGCCAATTGACTCAAGGACCTTATGATACAGCGCGCACGTGCTAACAATTCGGCCATCTAACCCCTCAGATCCTACACTACACTGATTTTGTTTTTGCATTTTATCGTCTGGTTCGAATAAAAAAAAACCCTCTATATTTGTTTTCCTTTTTAAAGATTATTTAATCCTTCTGTGGAAAAACTCAATGGATACCATTTAATTTATTTCCCCAAATATATCTGTATGTTTATATAGTTTCCATAGTTACCTGGATTCCACGAAACGTCAGTCATTATTTTCATGGAAACGATAAACAACAATAAGGAATGGTGGAATCTCTCCTTGATATCAAGACAAGCGATATAAAATAGATAATTTCTATCTATACGTCGATACATGTTCGTTTTTATCTCCACTAACTGAAACCAGAAATTACAAAACATTATAATAATAATAAATGATAATTCATTTACAACAATCACAACACATTAATTCATAAAATAAAAAACATAAACAAGAAACAGAGAACATTATTTAGTACACATGGTAAAAGTCTGACACAAACACAGCTAGAACCGTATTCAATCAGTTGTATATTTGATTTAAAAGTTCGGTTTTGAGATACTTTTTAAAACCTTTAATAGAATTGGCCCTTTTGATATTGAATTCCATAACTTCGGACTATCGGAGCACCTACAGCGAAAGATCTATCACCGGGGTTGGTTTTTGAAAAAGGCTTTATTAACATTGAGGGGGTGTAGTGTCGGAGATGGTAAACAGGACAGCTACGAGCCAAGGAAGTGGCGGTGTCATTTCTATGTATTCGATTCGTCGACACAGACTCGTCTTTATCCCACTGACTGAAACCAGAAATTAAAGAAATAAAACTGAACTGTAAAGGGGGTTAACGTCATACGTTTCTGTGCCAAGCGGGATAATTTAAAAATAGAAAGTCAAGGCATGTTTTGAGGTGTGAAGAAAAGCTGTTCACAACTACTGTGATCTGTATCAAGGGTTAGGGTTCAGATTACGCGAAATTGTTACCAAAGATGCGCTACTAGGATACCTCTACAAAAAACGTGCAATGCAAGGGAGACAATTTTGCCCAATGACAATCACGTCTTGATCCAACTGCCAAAAAAATACGTTATGTCAATACGGTAATCCCCTTACTGTGCAAATTTCAGAACATATTTCTGAAGAAATACAAAAGTTGAGTTTCTATGTGGTGTTGAGCGCAAGTCCTCAAGTTCCAAATTATGTATCAGTGTCTAGATAGCCATGACTATTTTGCTGAACTTATTGTGGCCGTTTCGATGAGTTACGCAAGACCTTTAAACATACATTATGCAAGAGCTAAATCTGCCTATTGCAGGTCTTCGTTAGGTCTGAAATGTTCTATAAACTATAAATTAAGAAACTTTAACTATTAATCATAATCAACTCTCGTCGGATTCTCGAGATTTAACTAAATTAGAAAGGTTGGCCATTTAAAAATTTAATTTAAAAATGGGAAAGCGAGGCTAAGTCTCGAATATACCAGTGCGCTAGTTACCACTATGCACACATCATGTTAAAACTACAAACAATGATAATTTGATTCAGAATTAAGTAAATTGAATGAAACTTTCAATATTCTCGTTTTTAATCATCTATTTTTAAATTATTATAGCAAGAATGACCAACTCTTTATTAAACTCTTAACTTATGTATCTTTAATCTAACGATCAATTACTGTGTAAGTCAATGTTTGAAAAATTCAGGAATTCCCTTCGCAGATACTGCTCTCTGACAAATGAATCCATTGGCAAGTGTTGTCAGATTTTTCTTTACAAATATGCGCATACAAAATCTAGTAAGTAGAAATCATTTCAAAAACTGTTTACTGACATTACTAGAGTACTATAGTAAATACTAATTTATACTTAGATTACTAGAGAGCACTATGGGGAATACTAATTTATACTTACATTATTAGAGAGTACTATGGTAAATACTAATTTGCCAGTACTATGGTAAATACCAATTTATACTTACAATACTAGACATCACTATGGTAAATACTAATTTATACTTACATTACTAGAGAGTACTATGGTAAATACTAATTTATCGTGCGAGTTTAAAGCCACCGTCAAGGCTGTTATTTGTAATAATATTACAACTGTGTGGGAGACTGGAGGATTGAACAGTTAAGGATCCATAATAATAATAATAATTGATTTATATAGCGCCAACAAATTCTACTCACTGAGCTGCTCAAGGGCGCTTTACATAAGTACAACTAATATAAACTTACAACAATCACAACACATTAATCCATAAAAAAAGACATAAAGTTATGATCACATTTTTATTATATAAAAAGTGGTTAGAAAGTTTAACTCATATCAGGTTTCAAAATCTTGGATAATAAATAAACAATCATTGAATATATTAAGTTTAAGTGAGAGACGTTTATTCGAACCCTAGCCCCAACCCTAACAATATCAGTTAGCACATATTTACCCCCTATCACCCTCGTTAAGCCCAACGAACACCGAAGGAACCCTTGTGACCGCAACATCGCGGATCAAAACGTCTGTCAGTTAATGTTACGCAATTCATAATTTTGTTTAATAGATGATTCTTTAATAAAATGATTTTTCATGAATATATCACGAGTATTTAATAAAATAATTTTCATTGAGTATTCAATAAAAGGAATAAAGGGGTTTTTCATGAGTATTTAATAAAAGGATTTTTCGTGAGTATTAAATGAAAGGATTTTTCATGGGTATTGAATAAAAGGATTTTTCGTGAGTATTAAATGAAAGGATTTTTCATGGGTATTGAATAAAAGGATTTTTCATGGGTATTTAATAAAAGGATTTTTCATGGGTATTTAATAAAAGGATACGGATGTAAACCATTGCCAACAATAAATGTAACCAGACACCAAAATAAGCTGATCGTCTTTCTGGTGGTTGTGTTAACTTCCAGCATAGTGAATCCCAGATGTCTGCTCCAAGTCCACTAATTAGACCATCCACTAACTATACAATATATAAATATAAATAAATAAAATGAAACAGGTTTAGCATCCTGGGAGCCACAGTGGCTCAGTAAGTAAGACGCTGGGGACCCGTATTCAATTCCTGCAGTGGCCGAGAAAGTTCATCGAGATTTTCCGGCGTGGTTCGCACTTGTCAGTGGTGCAGAACGAAGGACACGACAAGGGATAACGTATGGCCGTTCGGATGGAACGAAAAACCGAGTTCCCGCAGAGATCCCTTGCAGTTGGAATTCGATTTAAGAGTAGACCGTAGCGCCGCTATCCGGGCAAAATGTCCCTCATAGCACACTGTATGGCATATGCCTGTCTTCATTAGCCCAATCAGAGCAGAATAGTAGGACGTTAAATCCCATTTCATTTGCATTTCATTCGTTTAGAATTCTATATTTTTTTAGGGCAACAAGACCCTGTGGGCTATCCCGGGGAAGGAACGAGGCTTGAAAATCTTGAGATTCCTTTCGGCCACACAAAGGGATTCGCATGAAATGAATGAAAATATACGCACATCACATAGTTTTTAGGGCATCAATACCCTAGTTGAGAAGTTGGAACCGCGCTTGAAATATCCTGATATTCCTTTCCGTCCCACACGTGGATTCAAACTGGGGACATTATTAAAAGGAAAATAAAATGCACGTACATCAGTTAAGCTTTGTAACTATGGCGACAGCACATAGTTTTGGGGCAACAGTGTTCCAGGGGTTACCCGAGAATGTTTAAACAGGGCTTTAAGACTTCGAGATTCCCTTTGGACCGACACTAGTATTTGAACGCGGGACACTGATTAAAGGAAAATAAAATATACGTACATCAGTTATACTTTGTAGTACCAACAGGTTAAATATAGCTTTTCCTCGAACTAGATGGTACATCACAGATAAATCAAAATGGCGTACAATACAACAACATAATACAAACACAAAAATCTTTACGACATCACATATCTGAGATCCCGTTAATCTCTGTCTGATTCTGAAATGTATAAAATCCACTGAGAAGAGTTTAGGTTGAGGTATGCAGAATAAAGTCCACACAATATGTGTGCAGTGACCTGATTTGAGATGGAATATGCTTAAGTGCTGCAATGATACGGCTTTATTATATATGTTCATGCCTTGATACTTTACAAACAAGTAATTGTATGTGATACGATGATGTGATACGATGATGTGGTATGTTGATGTGATATGACGATGTGTTACGATGATGTACTGCGATCACTTGAAATGGTGTGATGTGCTGATGTGATGCAATGATATGATATGGTGATGGGATACGATAATGTGATACAGTGATGTGATACTATGATGTAATACGATGATGTGATATGGTGTGATGATGTGATACGATGATGTGACGTGGTGATGTGATGCGATGATGTGATATGCTGTGATATTATTATGTGCTGAGGTGATGCGATGATGTGACGTGGTGATGGGATGCGATGTGCTAATGTGATGCGATGATGTGATATGCTGTGATATTATTATGTGCTGATGTGATGCGATGATGTGACGTGGTGATGGGATGCGATGTGCTAATGTGATGTGATGCGATGATGTGATGCGATGATGTGATATTATTATGTGTTGATGGGATACAGTGATGGGACATGATGATGTGATAGCGTGATCTGATAGAATGATGGTATATGGTGATGCGATGATGTAATATGATGATGTGATATGGTGATGGGATACGATGATCTGATACGATAATGTGATGCGATGATGTGAAATGATGGCGTAATGTGCTGATGTGATATGGTGATGGGATAACATGATGTGATATAATACGATGATGTGATATTATGACGTGACGTGATGATGTGATGCGATCACAGGATACAATTACATGATACGATGCTATGGAAAAATTATATGGTATGGTGTTATGTGATCCGATGTTATGGTACAATTACGTGTTACGACGTTATGAAACAATTACACGGTACGGTGTTATAATAGAATAATATGATATGATGTCATAATACAATGATGTGATATGATGTTATGACATAATAACGTGATATGATGTCATAATACAATGATGTGATATGATGTTATGACATAATAATGTTATAATACAATGATGTGATACGATGTTATGATATGATGTCACAATATGATGACATGCATAATATGATACAATAATGTGATATGATGTCATAATACAATGATGTGATATGGTGTTATGACATGATAACGTGATATAAATCATGATGTCATAATACAATGATATGATATGATGTTATGATATGATGTCACAATACGATGACATAATATGGTACAACAGTGTGATATGATAAGAAAATATGGTGGTCAGCAGTAACACACATACTTACCCATGTATAATACATGATGGCCTTATAAGGATATAAAAAAGAGCTACCAATGCTCTGATTGGTTGGAATGTGAAGATGTCTAAAAGAGCATTAAGACATAATGTACTTCCGTATAAATAAAACTGAAACAAAAAACCCAGATAACTTTGAATTTAATATCATATTGAGTCTAAATATAATAAGTTGTATTATTTTGTTCGCGTGCATAGTTCTTTGGGATTGGGAAGAACTATTAAAAAGAATTATTAAAATAAAATTGAACCATGTGATAGTCCTGAAATGACTTAGTTTGTGTCGAGTGGACGTTAAACTCTCTCTCTCTCAAATCATCAAATGAGATGAAATGGGTTTAGCGTTCTACTGTTCTACTTCGACTGAGCTAACGAAGAAGGACATACCCCATACAGCGTGGTATGAGGGGATTTTCCTCCGGCCAGAGGCACTACAGCCTAGTCTTATATCGAATTCCAACTGTAGAGTTCTTTTACGTACACAACAATGTGTACACGGGATCTCTGTTTTTCGTCCCATCCGAATGACTATACGTTGTCTCTTACCAGGCCATCCGTCTTGCATGCCTGACGGGGGGGGGGGGGGGAGACCACACCAGAAAATAACAAAGAACTTTCTCGGCCAATACCGGGATTGAACAATGTCTTATTCACCAAGCCACCGCGGCTCCTTATCCTGAACAGATTAATCCAGAAATAACAAAGACATAGCTTACCTTTTCAAATTCTACCGGAGTTTGGACCACAGTCGATACACGACCACACCTCTCTTTATACCTGACGTCATCACGTAATGGTTGGTAATGACGTGAAAGGTTCGATTTTATGTAACCCCATATCGAATTATCTAAAAAAAAAAAAAAAAAAAAAAAAAAAAAAAAAAATAGATGCCAATTAATTTCATAACTTAGAGAATACTGACTTTTGTGAACTTTGCTGACTCGCCAAAACGAAATTATGAAATCTGTGTCTAGTTTTTGTTTGGATCGAGGTGGTTATCTGGTCAGGGAACCCATTTCAATTCCATTCTAATTTTTGCATGTTGATGTCTATAGCTGGTATTTACGGCATGGTTCCTCTTGTCAGTGATGCAGGACGGAGGGCTTGACAAGGACAGCTGTCTAGTCGTCCGGATGGAACGAAAGTCCGAGATCCAATGTACACATTGGCGTGCACCTAAAATATGCATTGGCAGTTGGAAATCGAGACCGACTGGAATGGTAAGTTTTAAAAATTATCAGATCGAAAATGTTTTGATTAGTTTTATCAGCATTCACACTAAGTAAATAAACAAATGGAGGCGATTTTATATACAAATGAAGCGGAGAATGCTAGATTAGAGACGGTCCTGCACATATGACATCATATTGTGCGTTAGGGTTAGGACAAGGATTAGGCTTGGTGCACGGTTAGGATTAGGTTTAGCGCTAGCTCTTTTTTTACATCTCGAGACTGACGAAATCTGCAGGTCCTAACCCTAACCCAAACCCTAACCCACAATGCACATATGACGTCATATTATGTGCTAATATGTGCATGGCCGTCTCCGATCTAGCGTTCCCCAAATAAAGTTAATATTTCAACGAACCATCGTCTTCAGAAGATAATGTTATCGTGACGTCATTATGATGTCCGTTACATGAGTTATGACGTCCCGTTCGCCTCTGATTACCACCTCTGTTCCAAAGAGCTTCCATTTTGAATTCAAACACTATTATACTAAATTCAACATAGCTTTAATATTAAACTAGAATTATAGAAACGGAGGAGTGAATAAATGTTAATTTAAACAGACGACCATAAAAAAATCAGGCAACATATTTATAACACTGATAAGGGTTTTAATGGTTTTGTAGCCAATCACAAGACAGCAGAAAAGCTATGAATTAGTATTAAATGGCCGCGTGGAGGACGATATAATAATATTCAGATAATATTGAACATAACACGATTTTAAATCAATAAATAATTTAATTGTTTATTTAAAGTTATCATCTTCGTAGCACAACATGATAATATGTAACAGACATTGCCTGAGTAGAGCAAAGCTGATTTTTGTCAAATATAAAACCTTCATAATTAATTTTCGCTGGTGATATAAAAAATGTTAAATAAATTCGTTTTTCCAAATTGAATGTATTTAGATATAAATTGTATGGGTATAGGATAAATCATTTATCCTTGGTGGTCAATGGTAACGTCGAGAAGAACCCCCGTTCCCTTGTTTAACCCCCCCCCCCCCAAAAAAAAAAACAAAACAAAACAAAAACAAACAAACAAAAAAAAACACCCCCCCCCCCCCAAAAAAAAAAACCACAGTGAGGCAGATGTGCCCCGCCGAAATCCCCCCAAAAATAGATGACATATTAATTAACCGCACATTTATTTTTTTCAAAAGTATCAAGCATTCAAACTGATTATCAACTATACACTTAGTTTCATCACTCTCTATCAGATAGTTATCTTGTCCCAAAGCAATGACCAATAAAATTGCTTAGCTCTGCTTAGCTTTAGCTTGAAAGGTTAATCATTGAATATTTACATCAAGTTTAAACATTCTACCTCGATTAAAAGTGGGGGCCTATTTCACGAAATTTTAACTAAAGATAAAATCTAAATTTTAGTAGATACTTCCATTTTGATTGGCTAAGCACTAAAATCAATCTAATATTATCCAATCAAATTATTAAAATTTGGATTTTATCTTAGTTAAAATTTCGTGAAACAAGCCCCAGAGTTGTTATGTTCTAAAATCTTGACCAATCAAATTGCATATCGCTCCTTAGCCTAAGCAGAAAATTCCCATTATCAAACTTAGTCAAGGTAATGATGTGATGAATCTATGCACCAAGTTTCATCACTCTCCGTTAGAACTAAAGTTATCGTGCCCCAAAGCATCAACCAATCAAATTACTTATCTCTGCTTACACTAAATAGAAAATTCTCATCTTCGAAATCGATCAAGGCATTGACCTAATAAACACCTACACCAAGTTTGAACATTTTAGCTCAATTAGAAGGAGTGTTATTGTGTCCCAAAAAGTGTGACAGACAGACGGACAGACAGACGGGGACACACCCATTTTAAAATAGCCCCCCTGTGAAAAAATTGTCGACCATAAAAACAATAGATAAACATTGTTTGTCAATTTTACAGCAACCCCTGAGAACACTTCCCGCCCCCCTCGTTGCTCTGAGCTAGTTACGCCCCTGGTATTGTCGTCTCAGACTTTAGTATTATAAGTAGGCTACTATTATTAATCGTTTAAAGACGAGTTATTTGCCCCTGAATCGGATTCAGACCAGTTATTTTATGATCTGACTCAGTTACAGCCTAATATTGAAAGAGATTATCCACGTTACAGACGGTAGTGTCTCCTACTAGGTGTTTCACTTCCATAGTTCTTAAGCAGGGCCATACCTAGCTCAGGGCAACGAGTGTTCTGGGGGGGGGGGGGTGCTGTAAAATTGACGGACAATGTATATCTATTGTTTTATAGGTCGACAATTTTTTCACAGGGGGGCTATTTTAAAATGGGTTTGTTTTGCGCAAAGCCCCCTCCCTCCCCCAGCACCCCCTTAGATACGGGCCTTGTTCTTAAGTCGCCGCAGCGCACTAAACGTTGTAAGTAACGTTATGGTGATTTCATTCTGCATGCGAGAACTAGCTACTCTACTTCTAGAATAGATCTCTGTCCTAAATGACAGACATATCCAATAATTAGTATACTGTGTTGTAATGCAGCTCTTTTCCGGTTCACATCTGTTATTCATAAAAAAACTAATTAAACATTTTCAAGTTTATTAAATGAAAGCAGCATTTATATTTCTCAAAATTCTCGACATATACATAGTATTTTCGACTAGAATCGTCCATTTAGGACTTAAAATGTCGGTCAACTGGCTTAGTGTCTGTTCTCAAGCGGAGCTAACTGTAAACAGACAGCCTACGTTTAGTATGGATATACCTAACTGTAGACAGGCAGCCTAAGTTTAGTATGATGATATTTCAGTCAAACAGGACAGTAAAGCAAAGTACGATTGGAACTTGACGATTTCTGTTAATTTTTAGTCACCCACAAATCTGTCGGGTCGAGTCTATATTTACTCTTTCGAGAACATCTGCCACTTTAAGCCACGGACTGACTTTAGCATTTTACTTTAGCGTTTTAAGGTTTGTGGTATTGCGTTTTCCCTCTTTCTCGTATTCATTAGCACAGTCAGTGCAGAAAAGTAGGACGTTAAACCCCATTTCATTTCATTTTCCTCTACGTTTTTCTGTGTACATAGTTATTATTCATCTTGCATTATTCAATTGTTTATGAATCAAGTCTCGTCTGTTTTCCGTCCACTGGTTCCATCTTGTTTTCTAAGGTGAGATAACTCTGGCGCCTTCTCTAGCAGTAGTTCTGTAACCTCAGTATGGCCTTGCTTCACCGCCTGTAAAACACAGACCTCAACAATCATATAACGCTAACAATAACTTTCTCCACAATTTTAAACGTTTACATTCCTAAAAACAGAGCATTTGATTAATTTTAAGATTCTGTATTAGTTCATCTAACCCTTGACAAAATTGTCCAGGTGAATCCCACCGAGGTCTATTTTTCGTTTCGTTTATTTATACTTTCAATGGCTTCTACTACATTGCCTCTGACTGGTTGTAGTGGGAGGTTGCGTCAGGAGTCACGCTAGCGGCTTTTCACCCTACGACGTCAGATATTTGATTAACCAAGCAGTGTTGATGTTTCTAGTGGGATGGACACCCACATATCCATGCACCGCACGTCAAGAACTCGCCGAAACAGACCATTTCATTGGTTAATCCCCCACATCAACCAGAACGCAGGTTATATAACAACTCTTCCAGATCCCAAAACTATTGAACTATAAAAAATGATCTGAGTTTTAATCAGATTGCTAGACCACATGATTTTAGTTTCCTCAGTTTCAGATGACCAATGACCATCCTCTCAGAATCCAATTACCGTTCTCTGAATTTTAAAGTACAGTTCCCAAAGTTTAATTAACAACTAAAGCCGCGGTCACATCCTGCGGCTACGCACACAATTGGCCATAGTCCATTTGAACTAGGTTGGCCTAGTTCACATTAGTTGACCCTACATGACCGTAGTGTTAAGCACAGTGCCATGTTACTACGACCAACTACGGTCAATTACGGTCAATTACGGTCAACCAGGGAGAGGGAGAGAGAAATGGGGTTTAACGTCCACTCGACACAAACTAGGTCATTTCGGGACAAATATATGGTTTATTTTGTTTTTATTTCAACAATTCGCTTGCGCGTAGAGGTCTTTAGCAGTGGGAGAAAACCCTAGGACCCGGAGAAAACTCACGAGGTTGGACAGGCGACCCTACTCCTTGGCACGTACAACCGGGGATTCGAAACCACGCCAGTTGACTCAATGACAGGCCTTATGATACAGTGCGCAAGTGCTAACCATTCGGCCATCCAATCCCCCTCGTATTTAGAGATTCACCTTTCACAATATTGTAGTTTGCCCTTAAATTAATGACGCATTGGGACTTTAAAAGCCCATATTCTGGCCTATATAAAAGAATCGACCCGCTTCTGATTATTAGAGATGTTGTACAAACCTTGTGGACAGGCGTATTACCATCTGCATCACTGATCCTAGGATCGGCTCCATGCTTTAATAATAACTTGACTATGGCTGTATGACCCATATAAGCAGCTCTATGAAGGGGCGTGGCTTTTCCACTATTTGTTTGACAGTTAATACAGGCACCATTTTGTATTAACACAGTACATATCTGTAAATGACCACTCCTTGCTGCATAATGCTGAAAGACACAAACATTCTATAATATAAAATAAACACAACAGTTCTATGGATAACAGTTGCTGTAATTCTATTAAAGCTACGTTTCAACAATGTTCTCTTGTCGTTATCAAACACAATACTGATACAGACAGTAGGTACGAAATATATATACTATGTACAATCCAAAGGGTCACTGTCCTCCTAATTAAATGGTTTCATTAAATGTTTGGATTGTATATAGTATATATATTTCGTTCCTTCTGTCTGAATCTATATTGTGTTGATAACGTCAAGAGAATCATTGTTGAAACGTAACTTTAATAGAAATACAGTAATTGTTATCCATAGAACTGTTGTGGTTGTTTTAATGTGTTCAATTACTAAATGTCATTCAAACAGTATACTATAATATATCCTTTGGGGATTTTAAAAAATGAAATGAGAGTTTAACGCCCTACATTTCTGTGCCAACCGATTTAATGAAGTCGGACATACTCCATACAATGTGTTATGACCACTCTTTCCACATAATGCCGAATGACTCAAGAGCACTATATGCCCATTGGGGATTTTAAAAAATGAAATTGGGGTTTAACGGCCTACTTTTCCGTGCCAACCGATTTAATGAAGTCGGTGATATGACAAAGCATGTGTTATGAGGGTAGGGAATTTCGCCAGGACATCGCGTTGATGGCTTCTCATCGCTGAACGTTAACTGTCAAGGGTTCTTTTACGTGCACGTCAATATGTAGACGGATGGACCACGGTCTAACGACTAGAGGCCATCCATACTGTACCACTGAGAAGGTGAAATCAGGCTGGAAATCCCGAGGAACTGTGTCGAACCAGGGACCACTTTGTTAGTGTATATGTTACAGTCAATTTGTGTAATCAGTCATTTCATACAAATGTCTAAACGAATCAGTCATTACGAGAAATGCTTGTGGGCGCCTGGCAATACGTGCAATGACTGAAAATTCAAGTTATTACACGAAATGACTAAAAATCATGGTCAGGCATTACGAGAAATGACTAAAGTGCTGTCAAAACCACACAAATTCACTGTAAAACATTTATTGACAGTCAAATATAGTTGTCTTTCAATTTCATCACGAAAATCACTTTTTAAAAAACAAATCCGACTGGTTTATCTCTCAAGTTACTTGTTTTTGCATAACAGGCTGCCATGACAACGGCTGGAGCATTTGATTCTTTTTTTTTTATAAACATTTGCATTTATTCGTCCCAAATCTCTTAGAACCTGCACAATTGCACCGGACATATCCCTGTCCACCGCAGTTGGGTTCTGTATGTACAGCCTGTGTCAGTAAGCAAATGTTGGGGACACAAATCAAACTGATGGTCATTTCGTGTAATGTCTGGAATTTTCAGTCATTACACGT